CCCCCCCCCCCCCCCCCCCCCCCCAACACCCCTGCGTCAAGGCTCTACCTTTACGCCTGACCTGTATGCAGTGCTGCAAACACTAATAGCAAGTGACTCCCTGAGCTGTCTGCTCTTCCTTTCTTTTTTCTCCCCCCGCTCTCTCACCCCAGCAAGAACTCTGCATATGGAGAGTATTTAGGTGTCAGAGCCATGAGTCATACAGAAGTGGGTCTGGAGTGATGAATGACGGTGAGGACTGCAGAGCCGGACTTGGCCCCAACCTGAGGACACAGAGGAGCAGAGAGAAAGGGGCATAAAGTGAAGTATCGAGTAGAGGGAGGCAGAGTGGGAAAAAGAGAGAGAGAGAGAGAAAGGCAGGGAGGGAGGACAGACAGAGATAGAGAGAGAGAAAGAGAGAGAGAGAGAGAGCGCATCCCAGAGAAAATCCCCTGCTTACTTTGTAGTTGCCGGCAGACACCTGACAGGTGAGGGATGATGCTGGGGGGGTCCGGGGTCCGGGGTCCGGGGCTCAGAGAGCGGCCGCGGTGCTGGGTGAGCGGGGGGAGTGTGCTGGTGTTCTCCACCTATTCTGGACTCTTTATTCCCCATCGCTTGTTTTCAGTTTGCAGATGCCGACAGATGTGCCCGGAGACAGGCTTCACAGAGGGGAGAATGCCAACCCGGTAGGAGACGCTAAAGCATTCAAAGATTTGCAAATGACCGGTCAGCTTTGGAGAAATGTTAAAGTCTCTGACGGGTTTGGTCCTGAACATCAGTATGTGTGTGTGTGTGAGAGAGAGAGTGAGAGAGAGTGTGTGTGTGTTCTAAGTGGGTGGTGGACGAGGATGTGGGTGTCCTGCATTAGAAAATACGAGAGACTGGGTTCTTTTGGCACATTTCAAACTAGTGCTTTAGTGGATGTGCGGGTCCATTTATTTCCTCCAGGCTGCTGCAAAATATATTTACGTCAGGGACGTAATGTAAGGCAACATCTTACGAGTCTATCAGTCCCTACATTTAACTTTAAAACTTCTTTCTTTTGATTTCTTCTTTTTTCACCATTCTTTTTATCGTGGACACTATAATTGTTTTAACATCTTTTTTGCTAAAACCGTCGTTAAAAAGAAAAAAGAAAGAAACTCAAGCTGCCAGGCGCCAAAAAATGACACAAGGTTATCCGGTTACTCGGGTGTGTTTTGATGCAGCTACGGATTGTGTTTTTGTTTAGTTTTTTATGGAAAAATAAGTTAGGAAAATTCACAAATGTGTTTTTCCTTGGTTATGAATGGCCATCTTTAGCCTCCCTACTTTATCACTGAAGCTATTTGAATAATTTTTCAAATTGCCATGTTAGCTTTTTGCTTTTGGTGTTATAATAAACGTTTTCCACCACATTCTGTGATTCCAGTTGCAGGAATATGACTTATTTAGAATTTGTATCTATTATTTAGTAAATACTAAAAATCATACAGTGGTATCTAATGTTTTAACTACCTGTTCTGATATGTATTTTTCTCTCAGGTATAATAGATGCATTCTGATGGTATTTTCTAATATAGTCTAGTCTATAATCTAGTCTTTTTCATTCATTTTTAATCTGTTTTGCCTCCTAACTCTACGGTTTGGAAGAATTGTCAGCAGCTGAGGTCACATCATGTAATAAAAAGATACATTCTGCCTTGTTTGGCATAATAAAATACTATATTAGACAGAAGAGTGGCTTTAAATGTTCCACAATAATGAGACAGCCCATTGGCGTTCCTCTCTCTCCCTCTAGTGTGACAGTATGACTTTGTCCAGCACTCCAACAGTTCGCAGAGGAAGCACTCCTCTGCCAATAAAGCACCAGCTCAGGCGAGAAGAAGCCGTCCACGATGAGTGCGAGTGGACGCTGGGTGCGGCCGGGCCTTCGGCTTCGCCTGTCGGCTTCACCTCTGCCCTGGACGACGCTCCCACCGTGGCTGTGGAGGCCAGGCCCGACGGGCCGTTACGGATCGCCCTCCTGGGGCAGAACGGTGTGGGGAAATCCTCTCTGGCCATCGCCCTGGCGGGGGACATGGACAGGACTGCGTCTGTGGATTCTGATGGTACAAAGCTTGGTATTTGATGGGGTTAACGCAGAGGGGAGTCGACCTGTAGACCTTCCATCAGTGAGTTAAGAGCAGCTGTCATCTCCCATCTCAGACCTAACTGCTCCTATCCTTGTCCTTAGGGGAGGGATATGTGAGCACAGTCACTGTGGATGATGAGGAGAGCACCATCATTATCTTTGACAACTGGAGACAGGTGAGCCGAACAAGACCTCGTGGTTTTCACTCTCCCCGCTCTCAGCTCCCTCATTAGGCTGCTGAACTCTGCGCGCTCACGCTTTTGACAAAAGGAAAGCCCACCCTGAGGTTGTTTTGCTCGCTCTTGCCTCTTTTCCCTCAAGTGTGTTTCCGAGTGGGAACGCCAGCTGAGCACATTCATGTTTCGGATTTAGGCGGCCGTGTAAAAATATCCTTAAAATGCATTTTTCAGTTCTATAACTGGTCCTTTCTGTGTTTTGAATAGAAATAGGGCATGGGAGGGTTTTCCCTACATGGAGTTTTACACAATTAACTCTCAGATCTGATGGTGCCCGTGGGTGTTGTTAGACTGCAAAATCTCAAACGCGCCCGTGCGTAATTGAGAAAATCATTATTGCATTTAAATGAAAAGTCAGTGAACGATGGGGGCACTACCAAAAGACTGGCTCATCTTTAATCAGCACACTACAAAGGAGTTTCTCAGGAATGTTTTTGTGTTGGGCTATTTCTCTGCTGCTGGAGAGGAAGAGGGTACGTACAGTATGTATTAATAGTTTTGGATTCTTAAGAGCCTTTGCTGTTTTTCTGAAAGCTTTGAGCGCATAAAATACCTTTTTTTTTCTAAAGGCACTCATTATACAGTGCTCTCCCATTACCAGTGTTGAGGATTCTTCTAACAAACTGTGCGTATTTGCAGGTGTTGTTGCTGCGAGGGGTGTTTCTGTGTCTTCGAGCTTTCACTACATGCAGAATTTGCCACATAAAAGTGTCATAGCTGCCTCTGTCCCTCAGGACCTGTCGGCTCTCCAGTGTGAGGTGTGTGTCCTGGTGTTTTCGGTGACTGACAGGCGCAGCTTCCACCGTACCGCTCAGCTTCGACTACTCCTCCGGGAGACTCAGCCCCAGACTCCCATCATCCTTGTCGGTAATAAGAGTGACCTGGTCCGTACGCGTGAGGTCACCTCGCAAGGTGAGCACAAGCTCCACTTGACATCCTCATATCTGTGTTCCCTTTCCTCTCACCTCTCTTATGCCTGGGTCTTATGTTGCCTTTGCCGACGGTGCTGGCGTTTTCACCTCTCTTTCTGTCAGTAAACACTACCGTAAATGCAGATTTTATGCCTCGTGGCTGTGTGGGAGTAAGAGGGGTGGCCCGGTTGCAGTGGAAGCAGAAGAGGATTCATTGTGACTGCGTTTGCTCTCCACATTCATACAGCTTTTCAGCGCACAGGCTGAGTAACAGAGCATGTGGTGTTCTCCCAGGTATTATTAGCTGCTGTTTCAGAAACGTCTAACGTGATCCGATTGGGTTTGACAAACACTGGTGGAAGCAAAAGCCGACAGCCACAACTGTCTAAATATTCAGATGGAGCGTGAGCGTGAGCAACACCGGGTTCCAGCTGAGGTTTACTCTCTGACAAGCACAAACACCAAAAGTTTCCAATTTTAAACGGCCAAAACAATGACTGCTCATCTGATTGCACGGAGCTGCTTAATTAGATTCGCCTTCTTGGTGTTTGAGGCACTTCAGTGCGAATGCACATTACCGTCGGTGTAAGTGGCTGCAGACCAAAATCCAACATAAACTGCTTTAAGATCTGCTGGCAAACACCTCATCCACCCACTCTGCCTCTTCCTTATTCAGCTGGATGAAGAGTCTTTGTGCACACAGTTCTATTTATTGCTTTCCTGACATCTTTTCAAATCGTGCAAATTCTGTGCAGGCTGATTGGTGACAATGTTTCTGCAACATTCTACCATATATAATCATGCATCTATATGTATGTATGTGTGTGTGTGTGTATTTCTTTGATCTCTGCAGGGTGGTGCAGTGGTTTGCGGTGTTACTCTGAGAATGTTAGTTCGCAGATCTTGGTTATAGCCTTCTCTGTTTGGAGATTAGCCCAACATGTATCATTTTCCAGGTAGTTTAGAAGAGCAATGGCTAACAAAGTTTCAAAATGTCCCTAAAGGCCCAACGTTAAAGGGTATGACCGCTGTTGCTCGATCCCGCAAAGCGGTACCATAATGCTGTGAAATGAGGGGTTAGGAGTTAGGAAGAGTATCATGGATCAGTGATTTTTAAATGCTTGCTGATTGGTAATAGATTAGAAAACACCTTGTCAATCTTACACATGACTTTACAAAGATTCCTCCCGATTGTGTCAATGTGCCCTAATTCTTGAACACTAAAAAACTATCCATTTTAATTGTAAAGATTTAGTCCACAGAGCTTTATTCAGAACATTGAACCCACCTCCTTAGTGTTTTTGCTTTTGAAATACTCTGGAACCCTCCTTAGTTGTGGGATGTTCCACCCACTGGTCTTTAGCTTAACCACTTTTCAAAAGAAGTTTTGCTAACACCAACCTCCACAGTACATTGTCTTTACTTTTGGCGATAGGATTGTATCTGAGTGACTGACCTCAAAAACCTCCAGACCTAACCATACAAACCCCATGTCCTCCGTCTCCTCCATCAGAGGCCATGTCCAGCGCTGCCCTCTTCAATTGTCTGTATCTGGAGATCTCGGCCTCTCTGGACCACCGCACGCCGGAGCTGCTGGAGTGCGCGGTGCGTCTGGCCCGGGGCCAGTGCCCGTGGCCCCCGGGGACCAGTGCAGAGGACATGAGCGGGGGAGGCCAGCGTGAAAGCATCACCTCACGTGCCAAACGTTTCCTGTCCAGCCTGGTGCCCCGGTACCCGCGGGAGCGGGAAGTGAGCAGGTTCTCCAGACAGAAGTCTCGCTCGTGCCACGACCTGGGGGCTCTGTGATCACGCACCGCAAGGAAGTTCATGTTTTTTTGTTTTGTTTTAGGGTTTTTTTGTTGGAGCGGAGATAGCTTGTAGGGATGTAATATACCAGCACAGAGGAGGAGGAGGAGGAAGAAAATGAGGAAGGAGTGAAATGGCACTTAGTGGACAAGAGAGAAAGATGTGAATGACAGAGGAGGTGCAAAGGTGGCAGGGTATTAACAGGATGGTATTACTCAGTGCTGTGAGAGGTCATCCTGCATAGAGAAGAAAGAAAGAAAGAAGGAAGAGTGAGTGATGTTCATCTCTGCGATGGTATGAAACATTTTTGTACACACAGTCAGAAAAGATAAAATATTACTGTCGAAAAAACATGTAAATAAGCTGTAGAAGTGTTACTCCACTCCACCCTCAAAGGATTTGAGAACTGAATAAATGGCTTATTTTCTTTTTTGAGTCTTCAAAAAGTTGTGTGACTTTGATTTGTTCTCTTCCACTGCACAGTTTGTTAGAGGGTGGACTTTAAAGTGAAGGGAGAAAAGATATTGCATTAAACAAAGGAGGAATCCATGACTGAACATGTCCTCAGCCATTTAGCAGAGTAGATCATGACAATAATTATTATTGTGTTCATTTATCCTGAGATTGGGTGGTATCCCCGACAATCATAAACGGAAAAAAATAAGCAATGGGAAATGAAGAGCTATGTGTGGCAATAAGGGAGGACGCAGGAAAGCAAAGGCAGATTATTGTATACAGACCTATTGTTGCCATGTTACTGTTGTCAAGGAAACCTGAAGTCACGAAGACTTCGACATCATGTCAATTTAAGCGCTGTCGATGTATCACAGCTCTCCCCGTCCAAGCAAAGCCAGAGACAGAGACAGAGAGGCTGGTGCTCGTCGAGAAACTTGAAATCTAGCTGTAAATGAGGACGTTTTTAGCCCTCATCTGCACCATTCTCCACCCACCGCCTCCTGCCCTCCCACGACCGCCCACGCGTGCTCAAAGATTGAGCTCATCGTAGATAATCATACCCATCTTTTTTCATTTTTTTTTATATCAAAAGGAAAGAGCTGTGCTGTCACAGAAGAAGGAATAAAATGGTGCCACAGTGCTGTGACTCATTCCCCGCTGGAACAAAATGAAAGGTTGAGGCTGGGAGCATGGGCTGGAAGCTCTCTCTTGTGGCTGATCTGATGTCCTGCATCTTAGCAGATAACAGAGATCCAGCTCAACAGAGAGAAAATATGTTTCATGTGGCAGAGCAGCTCTCCGTATCTTGTTCATATGAACAATGGTGATTACGACTGGGGCGGAAGCTGTGAGCAATATAAAGACAGGAGTCCTGAAGGGTGCCCTCTGTTTAATATAAATGCAAATCAGGAGCAGCAGAAAGTGTCTTTTAAAGGTTTTTCACATGAACCCCAAAACCACCTGGTCCTTAAATTGAGCCACAACACATATCCAAAGTTCATTAGATTTGGGAGTTTGCTGGAAGAATTTATTACCTTAAAGGAAAATGATCTTAACATTGCCCCGGTTCAGCTAAAATCCAGACCTCACTGTGGTTGGGATTGAAATATTCAGAAACAAACACAGAAGGCCTGGATTAACTTAAAGTGGAGAGAGAGGTTTGCCGAAATTCCTCCAGGATTTGTGAGAGACCAACAATGCTATGAGGAAATAGATGACTTCAGGCCAGTGCTGCTAAAGGGTGGATCTAAATAAGTGTCTGTGAAATACACACAAGGGTAGCTTTTTACATTTTCCTGCAATAAACCTTGAATTCTTAATCGGTTTTAAAGACTTTTCTAAGCACATAGAGTCAGTGTTAAAATTAGAGTTGCATAATTTCCCATTTAAGAACACATGCTTTATTTATAAGCCAAAAATAATTTAGCCATTGGATACAGTAGTAACTATAATTTTCTGTGCCTCTAGCGTCCCACCATGCAGCATTTTTGTGGCGAGTTATGGGAATGTTAATGTTTAGATGTTATTGCATCTAATATATATATATATGCTGCTCAGTATAAAATAAATAAAACGTTAACGTATACTTGATTCTCTCCGTGGGAACTCGTTCTTACTGTTAAAAGTAAGCAGCGCCTTTCATGAGGGTAGCTGGACAATACAATGTGTGATGTTTCAAATCCTATGAATAAAACAAAAAACAACTTAAAAAGTTTAGCATTACCATTACCTGGTCGGACCAATGACCGAAACTTAAAAGAGTGTGCACAGATAGACCTTCATCTGGGTCGAATAAGGACATTGGCATTTTTTTTAATGGAATGATTTGTTTATTATTATTATTGGGTAAACAAAGACGTGGCATTGCAGGGTGGGGTACTCTGGACTCGGTGGGTCACGAGCCCGCTTACAGGGTACAGGCCTGTAACTTTTTGTCGGCCAACTTGAGGGACACCCAGGTGTTGAGCATGGAAGCCCGAAGTTTGCTCCACACCAGGTGGTTGGCAAGTCCAAAGATCTGTGCTGCGAACTGAGCCGCAGCCTCAGGAGAAAGGATTGTGGAGCAGCCAAGACCTGCAGGGAGAAAAAAATAAAATAAATTAAACAAAATGGTGAGAAAAACAAAAACTAAACTTGGGGTTTTCTAATGGATTCAATCAAGCAATTTACAACTATGCACATAAAGCAGCACGGGCTTGGCTTACCACTTGGCATCCTGAGGGACGACCAGACATCTTGTGCTCCCCAGTCTGGAGTCAGAGGGGGGCAGTTGATAACGGGGTACGCCGTGTTTCCAGACATCACTGGCCCCAGGCCGTTACTTCTGCCAGCTACCGCCACAAATACAGTGGGGATGCCATCGCCTACGGAAAAGCAGAGCTGGAGTGTCAAGCCATAAAAAAAAAAAAAAGATTGATCAGTTAATGCCAAACCAAAAAAGCACACCTTCATATTCTGCTTTGATGCGGAGAGTCTCATCCGGACCCTTGTGGGCCGAGGTGACCCTAAGAAAACAGGGGATCCCGAAGGAGGTGCAAGCCTTCCGGATTTTTTCGCAGTGGGCCATGTCCGAGGTAGAGCCCATCAGAACCACCACCCGGCCGCTGGCCTGGGGCTCCAGCAGCAGCTACACACAACACCAGGAATCATTATCTCCACACAGTTCACTCGAGTGAATTGATCCACATCTAAAGATGCTTGTACAACAGATGTCATGCTGAATGATGGTTGTTTGTTAGGAGACTTAAAAGAAACTTTAAAACATCGACTTGACTCTGAACATACCTTGACCCTATCGGAAACCCACTCAAAGTTTCGCTTCACCATTTGCATTGCCTCTGGAGTCACTTCTTTCAGGTCTCGGTATACCTAGGGAAAGGGTGGTAGAACAGTTTTTACGTTCTAAACTTCCGTATACAAAAAAAATTAAAAAAGGGATAAAATTAGAAAATAGGATATATGTATATACCTGCTTATCTTTTTGTTGACTGCGATCTCCAGCTGGCCACAACCTCCAAGAATCATTGTCGATCACGTCGGCAAGAACGATCTCCTGCGTTTTCACATTTACGCCAAATTCAATCTGTAAATCAGAGAATTAAGTTGGTAATAATGAAATAATAAAACAAAACAGCAGCAAAGTTACCCAATGTGGGAAAAACAAAAAAACAACCATTTCCATATACACACACGCCAGTAGAGGGGGACATTGAGCTAAATACCTTCATGTCCACCAGAGTGCAGTTCTGAGTTGCCCAAGCCCTCTCCAAAATCTCAAAAATGGCGACAGTGCTGCGATTCATAATGTCCACCTCACACTGACCAATAGTGAGCCCAGCCAGGCAGAATTTAGCTGTTAGCAGCTGCTCCTCTGACCACTGTGGATCATTATTGGCATCATCCTTAGAATAAAAACAAAAACAAACATGAAGTTATTCCAAAGGCAATGCAGAAACTTTGGGTGGGTTTCTGAAAGGGCCTGTAGACTTACTTTAAAGAACATCTCCATCTTTAGGGGGGAGAAGCGGTAGCCCTCTTTGACTCCAGGATTCCTCTTGAGGAAGGACCCGGTGGCCACCCTGCGACACACCCACTCGATGGGAATCATCTCACAGTGAGCTGCAATGAAGGCAGTGTCCGAGTGCTGCTTGACAAAAGCAGTCTTAATGCCTGAGGAAGAAGAAGAGAAAAAAAAAAAAAAGAAGACACAAAACCCCCAACCCTTTTGGAGGCCTTCCATTTGAGTTAATTTTGATAAACTGCAGCGTGATTGGTCACGTTCTGGTGAATTATAAGCAGCAGCATTGTAAATCACAAGACAGCCATTACTACAGCTGAATGAAACACAGTGGACTCAGAAGAGGCACCCAGCTGCTAGTTACCCCATTGCTCTCAATATGATCTAAGCAGACAGTAAGTTTATGAGGACATCCAGCAGGATGTGTCGGAAGGAGAACGGATAGTTGTGTCCATGAATGAGATCAGCAAAAAGCATTTGATGGTTTATGTAATCTAAGGACAAATATAAATGATTAAGGAAAGCCTGCTTTATTCAATTATCAGAGCATAAAAAGGTCTATGGATGGTTTTCCTTTTTATACCATTAGTCCCTCCTTTGACTTTCCTCTTAAGGGGTAGATCATCTCTGATCATTTTTAGCTGGTAACAAGAATTCAAAATTATCTGCCTTAAAATCTGTAATAATAATAATGTTTTGTGTCTCTAATATACTCATAGTGAATTGAATTACAAATAGTGAGAGGTATGTCTTCTTCGGGGTGAGTATGACCCAGCCCACACGGGAACTTTCTGTAAAGTGTTCTGCGTGGATTCACACAATAATGCAACTTGCCAGATTCCTGGAGCAGTTTGAACACGCAGCTTGTGGTTTTATTGGCGATGGCAGCCTTTCCCTCCATCTGATCTTTCCTCACGGCGTTGCCTGCGGTGATCTGGTCTTTGGACTGAACCAGAACCAGTCCAGGCTGGTCCGCAAGTTCAAAAATCTGCTTCGTTTTCCCCTCATTGAGCTTCTGGCCGATGTTCAACTCTGTACAAACGCAAAAGCATGAATAAAAAATCAATATAATTATCTGACTTTGCACATGCAATGTAACCGTCGTGCACTACCTGGAGTGGAGGCCATGGTGCTGGTCGATCCTTGACTGTTCTGAAAGACAAACCAAAAAGTTCTGCAAGTTGTTGGGTTGTTAGGTGAAGCGAGAGGAGGCGCGCAGGCATGGAGCGGGGAAGGAGGGAAGAGGCCGTGTCTTACGTCTTCTGACAGCCAATCGCGCCACCCCGTTTTTTCATCTAACCAATTGCAGCAGCGCACTGCTCACCACGTGGCAGGAAGACGCTCCAACACGAAAAATTAACGAGGGGCAAACCTTTAAGTTCCACCATGTTCTCTTTGATGAGAAGATTGATTTTTTAGACAAATTAAATCAAGGCTAAAAAGGATGGCCTTTACCCTATCGATAAATACCGACTATGATTAGGGGCAAAAAAATCGTGTTTTCCAACGCAACACATCTTATCAAATAAGTTTCGATTGAGTCATGATAACACTGCTAAAGTTTGTAACTCCTGTAAAAAAAAGCGTGCCTTTTTTTTCTTCTACCAACTCATGATAAAGTTAGTCTCTTCGGACTCGTGATTGCAACTTAAAAAGTGTCATCTGACTTGCGTTTTTTCGCAAGTCTAGCACTAGCAAGTCCGTACCAGCGCGAGCACGTGCTCAATCAATACTACACTAGCACGCACGCGCATACCGTTTACCAGCAAGAAAACAGGCACGAGAGTTTTTTTTTTCTCTCCGTCGGGTTCAGCGGGGAACCGGGGGGACGCAGCACCGACGGCGATATGGAGTTCGAGGAGGACGGTATCGGGGAGGAGTGCGGGGTTTTCGGCTGCGTGGCGGCGGGAGAGTGGCCCACCCAGCTGGAGGTGGCTCAAGTGTTGACACTGGGACTCGTGGCGTTGCAGCACAGGTAAGTGTGTGGGTCTTTTCCAAGTTACCGAAAGACAGCTAAAAGCAACACCCGTTAAATGGCCCCGCGTGCCTGGAAGTAAAAATGTTCAAAACCCCGCCGGAAAACGATAAACTCGAGTTATCATCACTAATGAATTCGACTGTAAATTTGTTGTGGAACGGCGAAGAGTTAAAAAAGAAAAAGTTCATTCGAACAACACTTTCCAGAAAATATTGTGTCCCCTTCTTTTTTTTTTTTACAACTATGTTGCAAAATTAGAAAAACAAAACGCATACACAATATATGCTTCAATATATTAACCTGAAGGGAAAACCATGTAAATACGTTGATTTTTGGGGGGTAGAAAAAAGACTATAATCAAGAAAGCTGTCAAATGATAGATGTGATAAATTGATGATGTTGGCTCCAAAAAGATGAGTGCAGACCTCCTTAAACGATATACACATATATATGTGTTTTAATACCCAAAGAGCATGTGTGTTATTTCAGGTTGTTTAATGGATTGATTTTGTTGATCTACTCTCAGTTGCATAAGGCTTCTACTGTGTGTGAGTATTGAGTAGTAGATATTACCTGTCTCCGTGGGGGTGGATCAGGATGGGCTATGGAGCAGACAGATTTGATCTTTATTATGGGGATATGCTCCTGCTCCTCTTTGCACTGAGTCTCCCCTTTATTAGCAGTGTCACGGCCGCTGTTCGTTTTTTTTGCAGGCGTTTGGAGTGTGGGATCTAGAAAAAGAAAAGTCAAACAAAAGCTGGTACCAAATACGTATTTAAGTTGAATAAAACCTTTTTCAAAGTACATGGAACACATGGTGCTTTATGTTGTCTGTAATGTCATTATGAGGCTGCATGGTAAATCACGGGACAGAGACAGCAATTATATAGTCCTCAGTCAATTGTGGGCACCATGTGATCTGCAAAGTGATAACGGAAGGAGGCATATTTCAAACCTTGGTCCACAGCTTTCCTCTTCATCCCTCTGAGCCCGGGGAAGGTGTCATCTTTTTCTGGCCAAGCTTCAGATGGGCCTGCAAGCAGACAAAAAAAGACAGCCACGTCAACCGACCATTTCATACGTTTTTAAGGAAATTTGAAAGTGAGGTATTAGACCCTCTGTAATAAGTTAAATCCAGACATTTTTTTGTCCTTAAAACAAGATTATGTTTAGCTAAAAGGGGATGTTTTCACTCCAAGTTTTTAAAGAGGAAAAAAAATATTTTGGGGTTTATTTTGGCGATCAAGGTGTAGGTTTTTTGTTTTTCAAGGTAATGACAGATATTTGAGATAGAATGTAGTCAAAGGTCATATCATAGAAAAAAAAAAAAAAGGTTCGTCCTCCATCTGGAGTCTTCATTTGTGGACTAATGGTAATGTATCAAGGACAGGGATAAGTGGCTCACTCAGTAGTCTGTGGTGTCGATCCAGACGGGGCTCTCTGATGGCGTTTGTGCGCAGGTCGCTGAGGTCTGAAGCAACATCGGTGGCTATGGACGACACAGAATCAGAGCTGCTGGTTTTTTCGTCCATTTCCCCCACCACCACCGTTGTGTTTGACTTAGTCAGATAGATATCCTCCTGATGGCTCTCCTCACATCCCTGAAACATGAGGAGTCTGTCGGCGTGCACAGTGTGGTGCCCCCTGCCGTTTGTGGTGTGATTCATAATGGCTTCGACCTCATCGTAGAACCTCATGAGGCGTCTGGGGTCTGACTCGTCTGTCCTCCCTCTCTGAAGGGACCTATAAAGGTACTTGAGGTTTTTGTACTTGGTGTGGCACTGCTTCCAGTCCCGCTCAATGCCTTGTTGTTTTAACCTGTTGGAGATCTGGACAAAGATGTCCCTCTTTCTGGTCGAGCTCTCCAGCTGCTTGCAAATGCGCTGGTCGGACCAGACCTGGATAAGTGCTTTTACTTCTTGGTCGCTCCAGTTCCGACCGGTGTCTGACACCGTGACCACATGGAACTGGTCGGAGCTGGCTGAGTCGGTGTGTATCAAATGGGCCTCTGGAGTAAAAAATAGACAAAAAGCTCGCTTAGCTGAATGATTCTGAGTTGCTCATGGAATTTGCAGGAATGATTTCTCATACTTGTACCTCTACATTGTGCATCCACGTCTCCATCGATATCATAATCATCACTGTTGTCATCTGAAAGCAAAAGGGGAAATTAATAGTTTGAAGTCTTGATTCCGCAGCTACAACATGCATTGCCTCATGAATACTTGCCATCATCTATTTCTATGACAATCTCACTGTCAGAGGTATTCATCTGTCCTATATTTCCCGCTGTTGTCTGGAGCCTGCCTGCTCCCATTTCTCCATTGTACAGCCTCGTCTGCATCTCCACAGTCCCGTTCTCCAGTCCCCGATCCAGCAGGATGGCCTCCACCTCTTCAAAAAACTTCATGTACTTCCCCGGGCTTCCCGCGCTGCTGCCTCCCGCCACGTGGGCGCTCTTAGCCGTCTTGTAGTCGTACTTCAGATTCTTGTATTTGGTTCGACACTGTTTCCAGTTGCGCACCACTCCGAACTTCCTCTGCATCTGACGGGCCATCTCTTGGAAGATGCACTTGTTGCGCAGCGTGCTCTTCAAGCGCTCCCGAATGCAGCGGTCGGCCCAGACGCACAGCAGAGCACGCACCTCGTCGTCTGTCCAGTGGCGGCCCCCTTCCTCCATCACGTTTGGGGGGAAAGGAAGAGCGGGATGGATTCGGCTCTTGACTCCTGCAGACACGCACACACCGTTATCTTTGTCTAAACTTTCAATTGGAAAAATAGGGCAAAAAAAGAGAAAAACAATTTGAAGCAAACACTTGTTTATCTTTTCCTTGTTTTAAAATACATTTAAAAAAAATGTAATTGTCAGTGCTACTTTTGCTGTTAAGCCCACGTTTACCTTCGTGCAACGGTACTGGGATAGAGGAGGAAAATATTCCTCTGTGATTCCCCACATCTTCCTCCCAGTCCTCCACTGGCCTTCCATCCACTCCTGGGCTGTAGGCTGCTGACGTGCCTGCTGCCGCGTCAGGCTTCCTGCTCTGAAGTCCCAGGCTCCTGCTCTTGGCCTGGCACTCCCGCCAGCTGCGTGCAACACTGAGCCGTCTCAGACGCTCTGAGATCAACTCAAATGTGGCTCTACTCTCTGCTACGTGCTGAGCTCCAATCTCTTCCCACACAGATATCAGAGCCAGCACCTCTGCCTCCCCCCATTGCCTTTCCAGCGAGCCTTTTTCCTCCACAGCCTCCCTATCATCTGCTCTTTGTCTCTCTGCACCTCTCTCCATGTTGAGCTGACCTGGAAACGCTTTTTTTCCCCCTCAGCCCCTCTGTCTCTGCTGCCCGGTTCCCTAGGCAACCAGACGGTTAAGCCTGAAAGCAACGCCTTCATGCTGAAAAGCAGCCTCACCACTGGCTTAAGCTGTGTGCAGAGGGGGCGGGACCAGCTGTAATCTGAGAAGCAGCTTGGTAAATGGACTGAAACTGCAGCAAGACGACTCTCCATATATGGAAGCTCCACATCCACTTTTTTCCCCCCTTCCTCCTCCTTCCTGCTCCTTTTTTTTTGTTTTGTTGGTTGAGTTAAACCAGTTGGATTACATTAAACGATATAATAAAGCAAAGATTCAAGTTCTATGATTCATGTTTTGTCATGCAGATAGTAAAAGAATGATGAATATCTTCCTTTTAAGATGCATAACATGTTACATTTTGTTTTTTTCTACTCAGGGGTCAGGAAAGTGCTGGGGTTGTCACAAGCAATGGAGCCAGTCCACCCACATACACAAGTCACAAGGTAACACGGGATCATCGTTACAAACTCCCTTGTTACGACAGATGGACAGTTATATCCACACTATAAAAAAAATATATATATTTCAACTAGTAATGGATTGTCATAGTGTACAAATCATGCGCCTGGATAGAACTGCTTTAAACCAATTGATGTTGTTTGTCAAGCCATAAGCACCTACCTAAGAGCATGGCCTGTTTTTACACTGTTTAACACGATTAGTGCATATGGCTGCTTTGTTTTTTTTTCCTCCTAATTTCGGTGCGGGCTGATTTTAAAAAGCGATTATCCCTGTTGCCATTTTCTCAGGGCATGGGATTAGTGAGCTCAGCTTTCCCCGCGGAGGCCCTTCTCAAACTGCGCTATGGTAACCTCGGCATTTGTCACACGCGCTATTCAACCACGGGGATCTCGGAGCTGCAGAACTGCCAGCCCTTTGTGGTGGATACGCTGCATGGGAAGATCGCCGTGGCCCACAACGGAGAGCTGGTCAATGCCCGGGCCCTGAGGAAAAAGGTGAGCATGCCCCTGCTGCATATCAATGTCTCCCTCAGTGCTCTCCATTAGTCAGCACAAACAAAAAAATAGAGGAGTGGGACCAGTTAGTGCCTGTGCGCTTTATATCTGAATGGAGAGTATTATGCAGTTTCTGATGCTAAAAAGGTGTTACAGACGCTAACGTGTACATTAATCAGCATTGGGCTGCATGGAAAAAGCATCTCCTTATTGGTCAAGTGGTCATTTCTTTGGCACGCTCTGCAGGTTATGCGCCATGGTGTCGGGCTTTCTACCTGCTCGGACAGTGAGCTCATCACCCAGCTGCTGGCTCTGACCCCCCCCATGGAGGAGCTGGACACGCCCGACTGGGTTGCCAGGTTGGTATCGATCAGCTTTTACTAACTATTTCATCTCTGTATTTAATTTCTGTTTGTGAGTGAAGTATTTTAATATTCTGTGTGCTTTTTAATTCTTTTTTAATTGTAGAATTAAGAACCTCATGTCTGAAACGCCTTCATCATACTCACTGTTGGTCATGTACAAAGATGTCATCTATGCGGTGCGCGACCCCTATGGAAATCGGCCCCTCTGCATCGGAAGGGTCGTTCCCATCTCTAAGCTCCACAGCGCAGGTACCTGAGCATGCTTGGGACAGGTTATTTGTCAGCAAGATAATTAAAAAAAAAAAGATACACTGAGTTTTATTAATCTTGGTAGAGAGAAAAAGGAGGAAGGGACGCTTTTAAACATTTGTGTGAACCCTCAACCTCTGGCTCCCTTTGACTGCCCCTCCATTTCTGACATGTGACTCACATTCATCCGCCTGCTGGGGACAAACATGTTTGTCTTCAAAAGACCCCTTATTTACTGATAAAGAGGGGCCTGCAGGAGCTCAACCAAGCTGAAGCTTGCTTTTTTTTTTTGTTTTTTTATGGTCGTTTGACCGACTGGCCTTTGATTTTTATCAGAGGGTCAGCTCGGTACGCCTGCGGATGATTAACTTTGACTTTTGATCCATGGCTAGCTGCAGGAGAGGAGGACACTGAGGGTTGGGTTGTGTCATCGGAGTCATGCAGCTTCCAGTCCATTGGTGCCAAGTGAGTCTGCGGGTCCTTCACAGCGTCTCCTATGTAAAAAAAACAAACAAAAACCCACCGACCTGCAAACCGGTGTTCCACTCTGACTCAGGTATTACAGAGAGGTCCTACCAGGCGAGATCGTCCAGATATCCAGACACGGTGTGAAGTCTCTAAGTGTCGTGCGCCGCCCCGAAGGAGACCTCCCCGCCTTCTGCATCTTTGAATATGTGTACTTCGCCCGGCCGGACTCCATCTTCGAAGGTATGCGTCCCCATCACGAGCAGTTGAACAAATGGGCCTGCTGTTGACGGTCAGGGCGCGTTGTGGGGTCAACAGGACAGATGGTGTACACGGTCAGGCAGCGCTGCGGCCGGCAGCTGGCCATCGAGGCCCCGACAGACGCGGACGTGGTCAGCACCGTCCCGGAGTCGGCCACCCCCGCCGCCCTGGGTTACGCTCAGCAGGTGTGTCCACCAGCCATCCCCCAGACGCTGCAGAACCACCTGCTGGAGCTCCCCCCTCACAGCTGTGTGCCGTTCTTTCTTTCTGTTTGTTTGTTTGTTTGTTTTGCTCCTCCTCTCAGTCTGGTCTTCCCTACATGGAGGTTCTGTGTAAGAACCGCTACGTGGGGAGGACGTTTATTCAGCCAAACACCCGCTTGAGGCAACTGGGAGTCGCCAAGAAGTTTGGGGTATTGACGGACAACTTTGCCGGGAAACGAGTGGTGCTGATCGACGACTCCATCGTCAGGGGCAACACGATCTCCCCCATTATCAAACTTCTGAGGGAAGCGGGTGCGACAGAGGTTGGTTATGAAGTGATATTGTTGGGATAATATGGACTGTTATTTTGTGGTTCTGTCACTAGTTGGTCAGAATTGTGGGGGCATGAAAATATTAAGAACACAGATAATTAAAATAATGCCTCAGGTAAAATTTCTAATTATGTAAAAAAAAAAAAAAAGATAAATCGTGCAAAAATTTCTTCACTGATTAAAATGAGTGATTTCTGCTAAAAAGAAAATAATGACGGGGCAGAAAGCATCAGTCTGAAATGGGATGTTTACGAACATCACATTTTCACCTTGTAGACAGGCAGACGACATACTTTGGGACTTCCTGTGTTTTTATCAAAGTGGGCACTTGAAAAGCTCCAGATTGGCTGAAAAAAAATACTGCATAGACACATTATATGGTATGAACACACATGCTCTCCTGGACAGGTCCACATCAGGGTGGCCTCCCCTCCAATCAAGTTCCCATGCTACATGGGCATCAACATTCCCACGAAGGAAGAGCTCATTGCCAACAAGCCGGAGTTTAAGGACATTGCAGGCTACATTGGTATGACCCGCTGCACACACTGTTGTTTCAGCACTGTTCGCCAAATTAAAGCGTTCCCCTCGTCTGTGCAGGCGCCGACAGCGTGGAGTATCTAACCGTGGAGGGCCTGGTATCGGCCGTCCAGGAGGGGATAACCTCCCTCAAAGAGGACGAGATGGGCTCCAGTAACGGCTGTAGAGGGAAAGTGGGCCACTGCACGGCCTGCCTGACGGGGAAATATCCGGTGGAGCTGGAGTGGTGACCCCACAGCTCCAGTACGGTGGAGAAGTACCCCAGCTCTGCTCTTTGACCACCGACAACACAAGCCTCTCCCACTCACCACTCTGCTGAGAACTGTTAACAGTGGTTGAAAGCGATACTCTTATTTAACTGTAGTGGCTGTGTTTTGTGTCACTACACTGAGGGTTTTTTTGTTGTCTTACATGCTGACGTCACTGGACCATAGGGGCACTTTTCAGAGCAAACCAAAATCCCTTGTTTGTTACTTTTCCTTTGTAAGATTAAAATAATGAATGTTAGATGAATAATTTTCCATGTCAAACGCACACCAGAGTAGAGACCAAAACGTGAAATAACCTGTTTTAGACGTCTACTAAAAAAGAACCGTTCTGTATTTTTGCATCTGTTGGATTTTCTGTTCTAAACTTCTAAAGTGCTACACTTTAGAAGGAAAATGTCTTGTAATAAAACAGAATGCGATGAAAACACGTTTTGTAAAGCCTTTAACAGATTTATTTATTTTTATTAGCACGAACAGGACACTGGGTCAGCCTAACAATACAGCATGAATCTAAAACTGAAACAGAACTTGTGAAGAATGCAATAAATACAAAGCCAACAAGCTTTTTAAAGAAATATACATATTTTGGGTCATGCTTCAGGGGCCCAGTGAGAATACTTAAAACCGCTACTGCTGTAAAATACTTCAGAATTATTTTAAAACTCCAGCGTTGATCATTAGAACTTGAATAGTCGTGGGCTTTCTTTATTTTTTTTCCCATTTACCTCGAACATCTGCTCATGAAAACAAAAACAGGTTATTAGATGGGTGAACATGTGGACAGAAAGGCTTGAAACGCAGCACGAGAATTAAGCTTTAATTACCTGGAAGAACAACCAGTTTACCATTCACTTCTTGAAAGGACCTCCTGTTAAAACACAAAATCAGAAATCAGAAATGATCAGATAATGCCTGATGAATCTTAAATAAAGAGGCGTGTGTGTGTGTGTACGTGTGTGTGTGCGTGCTCACCCAGGCCTGTAGAATGTGCTGCGGCCCCAGCTCTGCGCCGGCCCGTCCGGGCGGCCGGCGGCGGTCAGCGGGGGCCCGGGGAAGCGCAGGCGGGCGGGGGCGAGGCAGCGGGTCAGCAGCTCCCGGCGGTGGCGCGTGGACCCCGGCGAGTATCCGCAGGGCTCCCCCCTGACCCGCTTGGACCGGGGGCTGTCGTCCCACGCCAGCTCCCCGTGGCGCTTCCTCAGGACGGGGCGGTGGGGGGACAGGGCCAGCGCCGCCAGGGCCGAGGACGAGTGACCGCCGCCGCCGGCCGGCCGGGAGCTGCGGGCGCACAGGCGGCAGGGGGGGCCGCTGAAGGAGGGCGACCGGTTCAGGCACGCAAACTCGTGGTACAGCTTCAGGAAGTCCTCGTCCACTTTCTTGGGCGAGCCGGGCGCCAGCGAGGAGGTGAAGGAGAGGTGGCGCCGGGGCGTGTGCTGACCGCCGCCGGACGGTGCGGTGGGGGCTAGCGGCGGCGGCTCCTGGGGGGCCGGAGGGCAGAGCATCTTCAGCTGCACAACGGGCCTCCGAGGGGACGACAGAGACGCGGACGCTGACCTCTGCCCCGTTCGGTCCAGCGAACAGTCCGGTCTCCTAACAAACCCGCGAGGCTTCCGGCTGCTGGCGGTCAGGGCCTGCGGCCGGAGGGGACTCGGCCTGAGCGGGGAGCAGTGGACGCCGGGCGTCTCGTCTGTGGCAGAGCGGCCCTGGCGCTGCGGCGATGACCCTAAGAGCGCCCGCTGCTGGGACGCCTCGGCCAGGCCGCGGCCGCGCGGCGAGGGGCAGCCGCAGCTGATGGACGCCCGCTCCGCCCACTGGGGAGGTCTGGACGGGGACCGCCGACACAGAGTGAAGGTCCGGTTCAGAGGGACGTCCTCGGGTTCGGACGCCTCCGAGAAGTCCATCACGCGCACCTGGTGGGACCTGGCGGGGCCTGGGCGCTGCGTCCGGCCGCCGGCCCACAGGCCGTCCACCGGTGGGGCGGAACGGGGGGCTGACCCGGGCCGGCCTTTCGGGGGCCCGAGCGTGAGGTCAAAGGTGCTGTCCAGCGGGCCCCTCCGGGGCTGCTGGCGCCAGCGGCGGTAGCGGCGCAGCACCGAGTCGGCGGCCTCGGACACGCGCTGCCGGCGCCAGGCCTTCTCGATCCGGCTGACCATGCCGGGGTACAGCTCCACCAGGGAGCTGCCGTTGCTGCTCAGAGACATCTGCAGCTCCTCGTCCTCGTCCTCCGGCTGCAGGCGGCTCTCAGAAAAGCTTCTGGAGCTCGTCTGCAGAGAGCCAACGGTTTCTTCTGTAGATTTGAAAGCAGATAGATCAATTAATTAAAAGCCAAATGTTTTTTTTATTACGATGAGAATCATTTCTTATATGATCTTACCGTGATTGTCAACTCCAAACTGAGCGTTGGAGCCAAAGGTCTCATCTCCTCCATTTTCTTCATGAGTGACATCAAACTGTGGAAAATATACCACCATTACTTTTTAAATCGGCATCGGTCATTCGCGGCAGATGGGCTCGATAAGAGGGGGAATGGGTACCTGAGCATCTCCGGGAAAGTCTTGCACTGTAACAGAAATATAAAAGGATTGAAAAACAGAAGTAAAGCACAACAATATCCTGAACGGCTTGGTTTTACTGGAGCCTTACCACCGAATGACTCCTCGCTCGATTCTGTCAGCCTCTGAAAAGAAGACACGAATGATTAAAGCACGTAAACATAGATGAAAAGTGTATTCAATGTCTGGAAATAAATAAATAAATTAACTGGTTCAGTTAAGAGTGTGTGAATGCGACTCCAAACCTTTGATTGCAGTGTTTTCAGCTCTTTTCTGGACAAGTTAATGTATTGTTGAAGAGCTTCACCATGAAAGATAGACAGAAACAATAAGCAATGATCCAGGAAACAAACATGTTAAATTGGTATGCAACTGTCATAAACAAAAACAAAATAAATGCCTCATGGGTGAAGGCCTGACATGACTCAAATTATTTTTAAGAAGTAAAGATAAGACATCTTAATAAGACAAGCATTTAGTTGGCGTGCAGTAATACTAAACTACCAGTAGGTGGCGACAAAGAACGTATTCAATATACCGGGAAAAACTAAACAAAACAACGTACTTTAATTATTTCCATCATTCTAGCGTTTGCCATTTAATACGTGAGTTTCTTTTTATACTATACCATCGTGACTTAGCACCATTGTAAAGGCGTTAGGTGCGGAAACCTGCAAGCAGGTTTTCAAATACAGAAAAAACAAAAACTGGGTTTTTATTTCAGAAATACATGCATTTGCAGCTGACTTACTGTCAGGTTTCACTTTGCTCAGGTCCACATCAATCCCCCCATCTTCTTCCCGAAGCTTTGAGTACTGTTGAAAAAAATCGCGGAGGTTAGCAAACACCGTGGGTAACATCCGCGAAACCGCTCTCAGAGGTTAACTTAAGTTGACGAACCTTGTCTATAATTCGATCCAGCGATCTTTTAAAGTTGAGACTGTTTGCATACAGTTGTTTATTTACAAGGTGTTCCATGTTTCCAACTAAAAAGAATAAAAAACTATATTTTCCAGGTTTTCGTGGACTGCGGAGCGGGGCAGTTGCGTGAAAGTGGCTTTCTTCTTTTTAAAAAATGGCCAAATGTGATTGGCCAGTGAGCATGAGGTGCTTTCAGGGGTCCTCGTAAAGTACGCTTAACAAAACTAGTACTTAACAAACTACTAATTGCCGCAAATTCTTTTTTGTTTAAGACTACAAATTGAGAACTGAAAGTTTTCATCAGTGCCATTAGTGATCTTGTTTACGCTCATGTAAACAAACATGACATCTATTAATCTTAATTTAATAATGAATCTATCTTATCGATGAATAATAATCACGTCTGATGATGGTGGAAAATACGGATACGTTTGATCACATCAACTCACGTAAAACCTTTGAACAACCGTATGAAATTATAATCATGATATAATTAGCCAGCCATCGCTTTCATTGACCATCGTAGCAGAATTTTCAAATATCGACTCGCCCGAACTTCCCTAAAGGTTACTCCAATCAAACGTCACGTTCCTGCATTGCGTCATCTAAAGTCGACGCACCTGCCCCTCCGACTTGTAAACAACGCAGACTCCATGTGGATTTGGTTAGATTGTAATAGTACTAAACAGGTTTTGAGCGGACGGCGCAGGCCGGGGATGAGCGGGGGGTCAGCGGAGGCCTCGGCATGGCCGGCCGGACGCTGCAGGAGCTCGTGGCCGCCGCCGCGGCTCTGCACGCGGACAGGGCGGCGGTGACGTACGACAGCGGCTCGCCATCCGAAGGGCCGTCCTCTCTATCCTACAGAGAGTTAGCAGAACTGTCTGGGAAACTGTCCCGGGCTTTACTGAAGAGCTGCTGTCCCCTGGCCGTCGGCCTGTACGTCAGCGACGACCTGCTCGTTCCGGTTTGGATTCTGGGGTAAGCGGCCACCCCGGCGGCTGTCCGGAGCCCCGGTACCGGCCCGCTAACCGGACGCTTCGGTGTGTGTGTGTGTGTGTGTGTGTGTGTGTATGTGTGTTTCCAGGATTCTGCAGTGTGCTGCTGCGTACGTCCCTCTGGACCCAGAGGCTCCTGGACGTCTGTCCGCCGGGGTCATCAGCCAATCTGGCCTCAAGTACTGCGCCGTGAAGACTGAGCTTCTGCAGGTGGATCTATTATTTCACATTCCATGAGCAATGATGAACAAAAAAGTATATGTATTTTTGCAAATGCATTCAGTGCTAAAAGTTTTAAAAGGAATGTTTGAAGCGTTTAGCAGAAACAAACCATGGCCATGGAGAATCACTCCACCTATTTGCAGAACTTTGCTTCCTGGGACTTTTTTCTGTTCACTCAGCTTAAATGAAAGCTAATTATTGTGAATTTAACTCTGTCGAAGGCAGTCGATGCAGGTTGCAAGAGCACACCAGCAAGAGCAAAACACCATGATGGGAGCACTGACTGTATTCCTCAAATGAGTTTTTTTCTTCTGGGGCATTATGTAAAAATGTTTACTAAAGGAAATGAATGAGGAAAAAGAAATCCAAAGTGTGTCCTGCATTTGTGCACAGCCAAAAACAAACGCACCCTCTCTGGACATGCAGGACTGAGCAGCCTGTTTCCAGTTTTTGGGGCAGCAGAGTCAAATAAACCCGTCTTTCTTCCTGTTCTCCCCAAATACTTCCCCACATCAAGAAATTCCAGGCAGATCTCATCAAACACGTGTCTGTGGAGGTTCGCGCGGAATGGCCCGAATTCAAGCTGACTCTGACACGGCTGGGGCCTCCGTTAGCTGAGGCTGAATGCAGCGGAGCGGAGACTCAGAATGGAGCTGCCGCCTGTGCCAGCATATCCGACAGGGCTTTGGCTTATGTGCTGCACACATCTGGAACCACAGGCCCACCCAAAACAGTCAGGGTCCCGCACCAGTGTATTATCCCTAACATACTGGATCTGAGGTGAGAAGGATATACAGTATGTTATTTTTTTATTTATCTGGAACAGATTCCGATATATCTATTAAACAAATAACGGATTTCCCATCTCTGCCCAGGTCTTTGTTTGAGATGAGCGCGGACGACGTGGTGTTTCTCGCCTCCCCTTTAACCTTTGACCCCTCGGTGGTGGACATATTTCTGGCCTTGTCATCCGGGGCCCAGCTTCTCATGGTCCCCGCCATAGTCAAGAAGATCCCCGGCCGCCTTGCCCGGGTGCTGTTCACGGACCACAAAACCACCGTCCTGCAGGTCTGTGGGGTCCGTCTGCCCCATCTGCCCCTTCGGCGCCCGCCTTTCAGCTGACCCGCTCTCTGCCCCCGGCGTTTTTTCCTCAGGTCACGCCCAGTCTGCTGCTGAGCTTCGGCGAGCGGCTCCTGAAGCGGGCCGTGCTGTCGTCGGGCTCCCCCCTGCGCGTCCTGGCCCTGGGGGGGGAGGCCTGCCCGCTGCCGGCTCAGCTGAGCGGCTGGAGACAGGAGGGCAACAGAACCCGCGTCTACAACATCTACGGCGTGACGGAGGTGTCCTGCTGGGCCTGCTGCTACAGAATCCCCGACGCCCTGCTGCGGACCCCCAACCCGTACGCCTCCGGAAAGGTTTTCTTTTTTTTTTCGGTTTAGAATGCCGCCACTAAACCTTGCCGACTTCTGCCTAGGACGGTGCCCTCCGTGCCCCTCGGAGCTCCTCTGATGGACACGAAGCTGGAAGTGAGAGACGAGCAAGGCCGCGCGGTCTCGGAGGGGGAAGGCCAGCTGTTCATAGGTGGGAGAGCTTTTCGGGGGTCCGCGGCAGAACAGGCGAACGCGCCCCGTACAGACCCATGTGGCTTCTGACGCAGGGGGAGAGGACAGGGTGTGTCTCCTGGACGGCGAGGAAAGCGTCTCCCCGGGGACCATGAGGGCCACCGGGGACTGGGTGAGCCTCCAGGAGGGACGGCTGTACTACCGGGGCCGCAGAGACCGAGAGATCAAACGCAACGGAAAGCGACTGAACCTGGACAGTTTACAGACGGTAAGGCCAGCGGAAGAATACGGGAAAAAGGTCACTGTGAGTTTTCAGGAGAGAACCTGGATAAACGTAGGAGAGGAATGGACTCAACTGCGTCACACGACCGGTCCTTGCGTTGGTTTCCATGACAGCCACGTCTGCAAAATTTTCTGATTTCTGCAGATTCTTTTCGTCTCTTCGACCGAAAACCCCATGAAAGTAAATTCTATTTCTGGTTGACAGCATTTACAGATTTCTGGTAACCCGTCCATCTTGCTTTATGCAATTTTTCCAAATTGCAATGGCCCCTGTCTTTACCTTAGTTCCAGCAGCTGGGATCAAATTCGCATTGAGCAAAAAATGGTGCGCATTTTTTAGTTTCGATATCCTTTATTGGATATCCTTTAAAGGAACAGATCACTGTAGCCCTATAATATGGAAGTGGTTGTGATTTTTAGTCGTGTTCGGACACAGGTTGGTCATCTGCCTTTGTCCCCGCCCTCCAGCTGATTCTGACCCTGCCTGAGGTGGAGGCCTGCGCTGTGACCCTCCACCAAGGCGCCCGGCTCCTGGCCTTTGTGGTGGCCTCCCCCGCCGGAGAGCAGACGGCGGCAGCGTCCGCCTCCCCGTCCGTTCGGCCGCCGGCGGGACGCAGCGGCCCCGCCCCCCCGGAGGGGCCCGGGCCGGCCACGGCGGACGGAGACGGCGTCCGGAGGATGATCCGGACGCAGCTGGCCCTGCTGCTGCCCTCCCACTGCGTGCCGGATGCGCTGGTGCTGGTCCCCGCCCTCCCTCTGACCCCTCACGGTGAGCGCCGGACACGCCCTCACCCACCGCTCACCCGCCCGCCACTCTAACGGTTTCTCTTCCCACAGGCAAAGCGGACACGAGGGCACTGATAAGAATTTACCAAACACAGAGAGAGCGTTTGGAGGCGGCAAAAGGAGACCCCAGCAACGCGGAGCAGACTCTCAGGGGTTTGTGGCAGGTATTCTCCACCTCCGACGACCAAGTTAGGATACGTTTTACCTCTCAGTTTACAGAAGAATAGTTGTTTATCATTCCATGAATGGATTTTAAGAAGGAATTACTGATCATTTAATAAAGTGAAGGGTAGAAAAGGTCTAGAACAGTCCTTAAAAACAGCATGGTCATTGAAGAATGGCCATGATAAAGATCCAGTGTTAGTTCTATGTTGCAGTGTTTTTGCATGTTCATTATATATGTTAGTGCTCATGTTATATCTTTGGTAATTTAATTAAACATATTGCTTACACTAACAGTGAAAAGAACACTAAAACAAGGTTTACATTATTAAATCAGACAAAAGCTAACTTAATTTACTTGAATCAGACTAACACAGTCAAGATAGACCGACCTAACTGGATTTATTTAGATAGAATACAGGTAGCAAGACAAAATGACGTTCATCCAGTGACTTATTTTTTTAGTGTGTAAGTCTGGAATGGTTTTCTGTGGATCAGAGCTGAAGAAGCCTCTGACTGAGGCTCTTTTTGGGCAGGACGCATTGGGCCTGGCGGCAGACGCAGCCTTCGATGAGCACTCCAACTTCCTGCTCTGCGGGGGGGACTCTCTGAAGGCGCTGCGCCTCCGCGAAGACATCCTCGCCGCCACGGCAGTGACCCCGCACGGGCTTTTGGAGGCCATACTGGACGGGAGCTTCTCGGACGTCCTGCACCACCTGACGCGCACGCCTCGGGATCAGATGGTCGACCCGCCGGCGGGCGAGGGCAGAAAACGGGGCGCCGGTCCATCCAACGCCAGCCCGTTGGCAAAGAGGGAGCACCGGGTGGAGATGCGTGCCGTCACGGTGCTGAGGCGAGCGGGCCAGGTGACCGGGACGCACGCCGGCCGCCCGGAGCGGCCAGAGGGCTGCGGCAGCACAGAGGCCGGTCTGGGGCTCACTGTGAGCTGGTCCTCGGACACCGGCAGATGCGTGGACGCGTCCCCGATGATCGTCATACAGCACGGAGCAGAAGGGGGGCCCGACGGGGCCACCGCCACGGCGTTCATCGGCTCCCACTCCCACAGGTTCCAGGCCTTAGACCTGCTCACGGGGACCATCCGGTGGGAGCGGGTTCTGGGGGGAAGGATCGAGGCCTCGGCTGCCGTGTCTCACTGCGGAACTCTGGTCGTCGTGGGTAAGCAAATCTGATTATGTCTTTTTGGATGTCAAATATAAAGCAAGTTTTTTGTTTTATGGAACATACAACAAATATGTCCTTTCCAACCTTTCCAAATCTACTTTACAGTTAGCCAGTTGGTAAAAGCAGACCATTTACAATCATGATGTGTTTTACATAGGAGGCTGAATGTCACTTTCTCTACGAGGTTGTCAGCCAATTATCATAAGGAGGAGGTTTCTTTTTCATCCAGTGTCTTGATAAAATCATTTTTGCTGTAGTCAGAGCCAGAACGAGCCACCTCCTTTCAAAGGGTGAGAAGTGTCTGGGAGTTCTACTGTGGAGCCTAAAGCTGCCAGCTTGGCAGTGATATTAAACCTTCTTTTCAGTGTTACATAAATGACTTCCATAATTTTCTTCCACCAATCTTGAAGAGCAGGGCAGCTCCAGAGAATATGTAGAAGAGTTGCTCCCTCCTCATAACATCTCCAGCAAGAGCCTTTTGGAATCAAATTCCATTTATGAAGTTGTTGAGGGGTTTTTTGTCTTTGTTTTTTTTAACGTGAGTTCCTCCTCAGGTTGTTACGACGGATGTGTGTATTTCCTGTGCGTCGACTCCGGACAGACGCGCTGGGCCTTCTCGACGGGGGACGCGGTGAAGAGCAGTCCGGCCGTGGACCCGCTGACCGGCCTGGTGGTGGCCGGCTCACACGACGGCCACGTCTACGCCCTGGACCCGCAGGTGAGCGCTCGTCCCGCCAACCCCGGCCTCCCGTGACCTTTGCCCCGATCTGAGCCCCGCGCTCGACGTGTTTCCCCGCATTCAGGCTCGGCGCTGCGTCTGGAGGCGCCACTGCGGCGGCGGGGCGGTCTTCTCCTCCCCGTGCGTCCGGCCGGTGCAGCGGCGGCTGTACGCGGCCTCGCTGGGAGGACGCCTGCTGTGTCTCCACCTGGTGAGTGGGCGGCGGCCCGCCGGAGGGCCCCCTGTCTCTGAGCGCAGCCCCAAATCTGAACGCAAGGCGGCGTCTCCCCGGCAGGATAGCGGCGAAGAGCTGTGGTCGTACCGCCGAGGCGTGCCCTTCTTCTCCTCGCCGAGCTGCTCCGGAGGGGGCGTCGTGATCGGCTCCGTGGATGGAAACATCTGCTGCGTCAGCGACACGGGGAAACTGGTAGCTATGGGCTTTACAGCACAGGTTTTCAGACCCATGAACATAAAATAAGCATCCATCCATCCATTGTCTAGACATTTTATCCTTAGTAGAGTTCCTGTGTGTTTGTGGACAAACTAACATGCATTAACCCAATATGATTGGACTTAAATGTTTGGATTGTGGCAGGAAGTCAGTGAGTGTGTGTGGCCAAAACCAAAAATATGAGTCATTATGTAGATTATTTGATGACTTTGTTAATAAAGACCTAATAAAAACCTGTAGTCTGCAGACACAGCAGGGGTGAAAACATCCTCTTGAAACTGAACGGAAACATGGGGCTGGTTGGTGTACGTTGACTTTGCCATGTTTTCCCTCCAGCTGTGGCAGTTCTCCACGGAGGGGCCGGTCTTCTCGTCCCCCTGCCTGCTCCCGGGTCAGCAGAGGCTGCTGTGCGGCTCCCACGACGGCCGCCTGTACTGCCTGGACTGCTCGGACGGCTCCCTAATTTGGACTTTCGCCACGACGGGAAAGGTGTACTCCTCCCCCTGCGCGTTGGACGGCTCGGCGCTGGGCAGGACGGGGGCTCTGGCCGGCCTGGCCTCCACCGACGGCACCGTCTGGATCCTGGACGCGCGGGATGGAAAACAGCTGGCCTCGCTGGCCCTGCCCGGGGAGCTGTTTTCATCCCCAGTGATCTGGGAGAGATCCCTTGTCATCGGCTGCCGCAACGATTACGTGTATTCTTTAAATCTGACTGTGGGATAGAGGAGGCTTTAAAAGGATTAAACGCTGCTCTGCACCGCTTCTTATGTATGAAACACAGTGTGGGTGTCATGGCTGTGGGGAATAAGGATTTCATTTGAACTCCAAAGCAGGGAAATAATGAGCTCCGGCTCCTGTGGTTCAGACATCAGTATTTAATTTACATTATCCATAACATTTTGAATCTCTTTTAAGAATTGTCTCATCGATACCTCTAAGTGGGACAAAAAAAGTGCAAATAATACCAAACTTTTTTTTTTTTTGTTACAGATAACACTGCGCACACTACACTATTGTGCACGACCAAAAGTTAGAAACAAAATGACAAAGTGACTCAGCCTCTTCTTGTGAGCAAAGCTCTGGTTACACCTCTGACTTGCATACGGTACATACTTACAGGTCATTATGTGAGCGGCGAGAGATAAGAGTTAAGGTTGTTCTGATAAGGGAACTCTCTCCGCTGTGTGAGATCGGTACATTTAGGAAGTGACGGCGTGTGTTAACAGGACGGCTACACGAATTGTAAGTCAAGAGCAAGCAGTTTTTTTTGCACCTAGCTCCACGAGCAAAGCAACAATCCTAGATGGCTTCGTCAGGCAGGAGGATGAGGCACAGTAAAACCAGAACTCTTGTCTTCTGCGCTGTAATCGGCGTCACCCCAAATTGGTCATGATAACCTTCTCTTTTTTTTTTTGTGTTCTAATGATTAAAACTGTACAATAGCCTCGTGGGGAGCTATCACAGTCGTTACGGGCACAGTGAGGATTGTTACACTGAGGATTTCCAGGAGGACTGTGGAAAAAGGCTGCCCTTTTACACGACAAACAAGGCTCCGGGGGGGTGGTGGGGGGGGATACAGTAGAATTTCAGAGAGGACAAATCTGCTGTTTTACATGATTATTACCAAAGAGGGCAAAGACGATTGCCTGTTACACTTCCGTCCGCTGTCCAGAAGCACGGTTATTTTTACTGGTAGCCCTTTAGAACATGATTCAGACAGATCCCCTCTGTTGAACGCTGCACTGCTATTCGTCAGAAATGCACCTCTATGATACACCAATGCGCGGTGGGCAAATGTTTTCCATTTTTTTACAACCATGCTGACGCATTTGGCTCCAGCGCAAGAAAAAAAAAAAAGGGCAGCGTCGGCCACTGCAATGGCCGGCCACGGCTGGGATTGGCTGCTGAGGAGTGGGGTTTTCTTTTTTTTGTTGTTGTTGCCTTTCTGGGGGAGGGGGGTACACACTTTGTTCGTATACAATATATGCATGCTCGCAACAATTGTTTTACATACATCTGATCTGTGCGATCGAAGTGGAATATCTGGATGTGAAGCGCACTTGGACGGGATAGCGGTAGCAGCCAGTCTGTGGAGGGCTCCCGGGTGATGTATTCCACTCCCAGGAGGAGGTGTGGAGGGACGGGGGTGGGGGTTCGGGGGTGGAGTGACGGTGACCGTCCAGGTGCTCTGGAGTCCGTTGTCGGTGCCCGGTCTCAGTGCAGGCCGTGGAGCCTGGGGGCGAGGGGGTTACTTGATGATCTGGGGACAGTCGCTCCAGGCTTTGGCCTTCCGCTTGGCCAGGGCCAGCCAGGCCGGCTCTGTGGACACCTGCGGAGAGTCACTGGACGGGAAGCGCTTTGACACGTCCTTGACGGAAGGTGGCGACGGAGTGGAGTCCGCAATCTCAACTGGAAGTAGGAGCACACCCGGAGAGACCCAATCAGCAACATCGCTAAGCACTAGGACACTGTGACTCTGGTCGGTACCCAGCAGGAAATGTACCACCGGTTTTACGGTCCAAACACCTCCAATTAACGGCTGTAAAGCCTATCAACGTGGCGTCTTTAATCTCAAATTATGAATCATTTATCCTGAATTACCGATAAGCGGCGCAATGATTTACAGCTTCGCATGCAGCCTTCCCACCTGTGACGGAGCTGGGCAGAGTGTTGGCCTTTTTCAGGACCTCCCGGCGCTCGAACCGTCCCAGCAGGCTGTCGGGCCTCTTGGGCTCCTCGGGCGTCTGCGGTTTGGAGGACGGGCTGACGCTGCCGCTGCCTTTGCTGTCGGTGGGGCTCGCCGGCGCCAGCTGCAGAGGAGATTTGGGAGGGTTACGGGCGGCGTTAGTGAGATTAGCGAGGACGGGGGGGGGGGGCGGAAATCTGGGGCACTTACACTGTCCCTGTCTCTGGTTTGCTTCTCTGCTAGTTTGGCCTCTCTTTGGCTCCGTCGGTCATCGCGGTTCTGCTGCTGCTCCCTGAAGCCTTTCTGCTTCTGCAGAGCCAGCGTGATCCACAAAGGCCCGGCCTCCTTCTCCTGGACCTTAGCACTGTCCAGCGAGTGTCTGCTCTGTAGGGACGGTTTTTCTGCAAGAGAGCACATATTTAGATATTTCTTTTTTTTAATACTGCAGCAGATAAAACACAAACTTTCACGTGGCTGAAATCTGTTACACCCATTTGGTTAAATATGAAGCCGCTAACTTGGTTAAGTACGAGGAACAGATTACAATTTTAGCAACAAAAGTGAATGCTAATGAAAAAAGTAGTACCTGTTGTCTGTATCTGGATACTCACTGTACATTCAAGCTAGTAGGATCTTTCATTTGTTGGCAAAAAAATGCCAACCTGCCCCTTTTGCCATCCTGTCACATATTTTACAACTCGGCTACAAATTGCTGGGAAACAGCAACGCTCTCGGTAAAAAAAAAACAGATGCTGACCTCTCCGGATGAGCTCCGCCTTCCTGTCCGTCTTCTCTCTCCAGGGGATGTTGAGGGAGGGGAAGAAGGATCTCTTCTCTTTGGGCTCCTCCTCTCCCTGGGCTGGGCCGTGGCCGCTCCGGTGCAGCTGGGCCACGGCCGACGGCTCCTCGCTCCGGCCGGCCTGCTCCCTTCCGGACGTTTCCGCTGCGCCCCCCGTTCTGGGGGCCGGGTCCTCGCCGGGAGGCCCGTGGAGCGCCTTGGGCAGCGGCGAGGGGGGCGGGGTCGGTTTGGGGGATGCGGTCGGTCTTTTGTAGACGGAGGGTTTGGGAGGCGCCTTCTCGCCCTGGTGGTGCGGCGTCGGGCTGGGGGACTTGCCCGGCTTCCCCCTCGGCGTTCCGGGGGAGGCCGAGGAAAGCAGGTACTTGCTGACCGCTCCCTCTTTCTGGGGCGAGGTGGGGGTGGACCTGTCGGAGAAGACGGAGGAGGCGTCGGAGTCCGGCTCCATGGGGGTCAGGGGCGAGGGCACGCCGTCAAAGCTGTCCCCGGCGCTGTAGCGCTTCTTCCTCTTCTCCGCGGACTGCTCGCTGTGGAAGCGCAGGGAGTAGTTGGTCCTCCTCAGCTTGATGCCGAAAGGCGAGGGCTGGTCGTCGCCGTCCAGTCCGTGCGCCTCCCCCTCCCCCTCCCCCTCCCCCTCCGCTTTGCCTTCGGTAGCCTCCGAGTCGCCCTGCAGGCGGCTGTGCGGCTCCGGCCCGTCGGGCCTCTCCCCGGGGCTGGGAACCAAGAAGGACGGGAGGTCTTTGGCAAACATGCACTCGTCGGCCCCTCTCTCCGCGATCCGGACCGTTTTGCCCGGCCTGCTCTGAGGTTTAGCGGCGGGGGCCGCGGCGGGGCCGTCCTCCCCCGCCTCCCTGTCCTCGGGAGCGAACGCCTCCGAGTTCCTGTTGGAGTCTCCGAACTTCTTCCTGGCCGGGGTGATGGAGAACTTGGCGCTGGCCGACATGGTCTTTCGGAGGTTGGCGTGGGCGAAGGGGGGCTGCTCCTCCGGCCCCCCGGGCTGGGGCGGAGCCCTGCCGGCCGGCTCCGGGTACTCGTCGTACTTCCCGTCCTCCACCCCTTTGAAGATCTTGGAGCGGATGCTGGCCCACTCGGCCAGCACGGCGGCGCTGGACTGGTCGCTCGCCAGCGCCGACTCGTTGAGCGACTTGGTCTTGCCCGACTTGCGGTCCGGCGAGGTCTTGCCCTTGGCCTGCGGCGCCCCCTGGGCCTTCCTGTCCTCCCCCAGACCCAGGAGGGACTTGCAGGCGGTGTCTTTGATGTGGTCCAGGTTGACGGCCGTCCCGCAGAGCTGGGCTCCTGTCACCAGGATGGCGGTGTGGGGGACGCACGGAGACGCCGGGAGGCAGGGCGACTCCGGCCCCTCCGGGGAGGAGGCCTTAGCCCCTTCCCTCTGGTCAGCGGCCGCAGCAGCCTGGTGGCCGGAGGCCGGCGTGACGGGCGTCAGGTTGACCTTCTGGAAGAGAATCTGCTTCTCTCCAGAGGACACTTTGAAAGAGAACGGCCTCTGTCTCTCCTCCATCTCCTTCCAGCGCAGCTCCTCGTGTCTCCTCATCCTCTCCCCTTCTTCCAATTTGTTCTTTTCCTCAATCTCGCGAAGCTTCAGTGTCTCTGCTTCCTCCCTCTTCTTTCGTTCCTCCTCTTCTTCTTTCTGCTTCCTCTTCTTCTCCGCTTCGAGCTCCTGTAGCCTCCTCAGCCTCTCCTCCTCTTGCTTCCTCCTCTGCTCTTCCTGCTGTCTCCTCTTCTCTTCCCGCTGCCGGTGATCTTCCTCTTCTCGCCTCTTCCGCTCTTCTTCCAACTTCCTCAGCTGTTCTTCCTCTTCTTGCCGCCTCCTTTCCTCTTCCTCCCTCATTTTTCTTTCTTCCTCCGCCTTTCTTGCTCTCTCGGCCTCCTCGTTCCTCCTCTTTTCTTCTTCCTCTCTAATTCTTCTCTCCTCCCTCCTCCTTCTCTCTGCCTCCTCTCGCCTCTTTTCTTCCTCCTCTCTGATTCTCCTCTCCTCCTCCCTCCTCCTCCCCTCTGCCTCCTCGCGCTGCCTCCTCTCTTGCTCCTCCTGCTGGTTTCTGCGACACCTCTCCTCCTCCAGCCTCAGCTCCTCCGCCTTCTTCGCCCTCTCCTCCTCCTCTTTTCTAAACCACTGTTCCTCCAGCTCCCTCCTCCTCCTTGCATCTTGAATTTCCACCCCATGGAGTCTTTGTTTCTTCAAGCTTTCCCGGGACTCGTCCACGGATGCCCTGCGCGGCTCAGCTGAGGAGATGCCCGCGGCCTCCAGCTCATCGTGTACCGACACCTCTTGGAGGTCCTGTAAAGGCAGAAGCAGGATTAGTTTCTCAACGCTCGAAGGTAGCTCGCGGTTTCCGCTTTCATCTCAAACTCACCAGCGTAAATCGTCTGTGTTTGCGGGAAACCCTCTGGTTCTTCGGTTTGACTGAGAGCTTATGCTTGGCGGCGGTGTTGTCGAGGAGAGGAACCGACTGGGGGACGGCATCCAGGTTGATGGACTCGATTGTGCCGGTCGGTGGAAGAACTCGTTTGGATCTCGGGGACTTCACCGGGGTGCTGTGCTGTCCAGATGCCTGAGCTCCTTGGACCTGTTTTTTTTTTTCCCCACAGCAACATAATGTGTGTTTAGACCTAGATACCTCCTCATTTTGTCTCAATAGCTTCTCTTTTTCTAACGTTTTAGTGTGAAGCCTTCTGCATTTCTACTACAGTGGACAAACCAGAGACAGTATGCTTGTGAACAATCTATAAGTTTACCACAAGATGCCACTATATCTCCCCTACTGCTTCTTTAAAAAGATTTTCAAAGATCCAGCTAAACTTTGTCTCACATTAGTTCAAAACCCACTAACGACCTACTACCTACAATGCGGCTTTTTTATTTTTTTCTTTGCAATCCAAAATAAACCAAAGCGTCATCCAAAAAGATTGTCACCTTGGGCTCTGTTTTCGGTGGCTCGGCTTCTACCTGGGCCAAAACCTTCAAGGGGCTCCGGGGAACCTCTTCCTCATCTGAACTGCCCTCATCCCCCTCACTCCTCCGGAGTGAAGACGGCCTCTGGCCAAACTTTATACCCTGTGCTATCTGTTTCTGGGTGGTCAAGAAAGAAAAAAGAATTCCGGTTACTTTTAAAGCCATGCAGAGCACACAGAAATGCCAACTGTCCGTCAGGCCCACCTGCAGGTTTCTGACTTTATCCGAGACGTTTTCCTGAGACATGCTGTGATCCAGTCCAGGTTCCTTCTCCGGCTCCTCGGGGATGAAGATGCTGTCGTGGGAGAGAGCTCGAGATCCGATGGGATTCAACTCTCTGAAGAAAACACGTTGTTTCTCAGCGCAGATACATATAATTTATGTCAGTCATTCATTATGCGTAAGATGCGGAGTTACTGCACAAATCATTGGCCTGTGAATTACACACTCATCAACATGTTTTACCGTCTAAGCTGCATATTAGACAAACTGGGAAACAACTTTCATGTGTTTTTCACTCGGTCTTTTCAGAATTTTTGTGTCCTCATTTAGGAAATCAATCTGTCAGCATAAAATCAGCTCTAGTAGTTTCCTATTACAAAGTGAAATCTTTGCTGTCTTAGATATATATATATTTATATATATAACACGGACAAACAAACACACACCAACCTCAGATTTTGATTAGACTCCTCCTCATCAGACACGACTCCATTGCACACTTCCCCGGTAGAGTAACTGGCTTTTAACTCTGGTCCATCAAAGCAGCCTGTTGCTTCCCGTTTCTTTTTCTTTCCAAACAGTTTCCTGAAGGGCTGGAATTTGCCCTGTCGCCTTCTCTCTGCCGGTGAAAGAAAATAGATCATAACCACAGCAGCGTGCAATCGAATCGTCAATCTTTTTATGTCACCTTCAGGCAAGATAAGGAGCGAGTATGGGGAGGGCGTGTTTTTTTATTTGTGTGGGAGCAGATAATGAAATGCAATAGACCGGGCTTGAAGGAAATCAAACGGCAAAAAACAGCAGATGGAATGAGAAGAAAACCTTGGCTCTTTCAGCTCATACTTACTTACTCACATTTGCGGGAAGTGGTAAAGATAAACACCAAGCTTAAAACCAGAGCACCGAAAGGCAAATGCAACTTTGGGCAAAAGAGGAAAAAAAAAGGGCAAAATCTGTGATTTACTTCCTGAGAACCGACACGTCCATACTTAACCCTGAATGAAATAAAGATAAAAGTTAAAACAAAAAAAAAATAGGTCCAAGGCGCTCAAAGAATTTTTGAAATTGATTTGGTTTATATCGTTTTAGTCTAGTTGCTGTGGGTAAAAAAAGCAACAAGTTTGTCAGCTTTGAGTCATCTCCTCAACTGTGTCAAATGAGAACAGTAAAAGCCAACAGCAGCTTGAATTAATCGTTTATAGACACTCGACTTATCTAATAAGGCAAAATCCTGGTGATAAACGGTTCTCATTTACGGGGAAGCCTTGAACCAAGTTGAGACGTCAGCTTTGGACTTTAGGCTGATATCTTTATTTCCTCAATCTCTTCCAAGTCTAGAGGACATCAAGTCTTGAGCCTGAGCTCAAGTTTCTGATATGAGAATGTAAAAACATCAGTGTTTACCCCCCAGCATCCCCAAAGATGAGATTTATAGACTTTGGGCCATTTAAAAATGTAAACAGATCTCTCTGTTTCAACAAATATTCAGGCTGTTTCTCGATGATTTTGTGCTCTGTCCTGATGCAAACCGTGTCCTACTCTGTGTTTGGCTTTTGTTTGCGTGTTTGCGGCGTGTGTTTGCGGCTGTGTTCTTGTGGAGGTCCACTGGATGAGGCGAGTGGGTGAGGTTACAGAGCTTCTGAGCTACTCTACACCACTGTGCAGACAGGCGTTCTCAGGACTCTGCGGGTATCCCTTTCAGAGCTATAAGTAGAAACTGGTGTGGGATTTCACTCCGCATGCCGCTCGCTAAACTAGCAGCATGATGGGAAACGATACAGTAAACTAATTTCCCCACTTACATCCCTTGACCCCGAACTTTATTTTTCCACAGTAAAGTAAACAGATATTCAATAGTGTATATAAGTGGGTTTGCACAAATGTTATTACCCTGCTTGTATGGCTATGGGAAGTATTTTCTTAAATTTATATGTATTTAGTCAGTGCTTATTTAATCTTGCAAACAGCGAGACAACCTGAATCAATTACATATGGTCATTGGTGCACGAAATAAGAGAAACACTGTTATTTGACCCTTTTTTCAGCTACTTTGCTGTTGCTAATTTGGACTACTTTGTTCTCGTTAGCCTCTAATGTGTTATTTCTTTGTATGGTTTAGAAGTCATTCTGGTAATTAACATCTGCATCTTTTGTTGTTGTTGTTTTATGCCCAATTCTAAAATGCCCAATGACTTCTTTTGTGCCCGAGTTTGTGACTAGAGGGCCGGTTTGGTCATCTGTCCATGCAAACTATGTATTGTATCCATACCAGACATCCTGGCTGTACATATGGTTGTATAAGAGGGGTTCAGGTCCTTACTATGAGCTATATTACATAACCCCAAAGACTTTCATCTTATGGTTATAGAGGCCTGAGAAGTGTAGTGTTTTCTTATATTTGAGAAACTATCTAACATCTTTTTATACCCTTGAGGGGAAACTGACTGTCTAATGAAAAGTGGACTGACTTTTTGTGTTCAGGCTGGTTTGTGGATGACCTCAGGAGGGAAGGCACCGATAAGCACAACAGATCGGGGGAGAGGCTGCAGATGTTTGCTTTTTTTCTTGCCGTTGCTCTTTTGTCTCCGGCAGATAAAACTGATGGCGTGCTAAGTGCTCCGTTGGGCCTCTCCGCTGTGAGTTGGGAGTGCCGATATCAGGCCGCGGCGCTGATGTTCGGCTTTCCCCCAGCATCAGGGCCCGTCCGGTGGCACAGAGCCCATAATGCACCGCCGTGGGCGTGCTCACACGCTCATGCGTAAAACGAGACGAGACACTTCTTCTGCAGAGTGGACGGCTCGGGAGCAGCACGCGTCAGAGCTCAGAGCGAGGCTGAACCTGAATCCCGTGTGCTGGCTGTGCAGTTTGTTTGGGCCATGGCTGCACTCAGACCACACTAAATGAAGGCGCACTGACCACAGAGGCAGACAAAACCAGGAAGGTTAAAGAATATTGTGCTCACGCTCCTTTTGAGAGGATTAATACCACTCATATTTGCAGTTATCATTTATAATCAATCTTATCGTATTTAAATGAGGATGATTATTTTTGTTCTACACCAACTGATTTTTCGGTAATGCTGGATTATTATTCATTTTGAGCCAATTATCGTATCATTACAAGGGTGAAACTGCTAAACAGTTACCATAACTGAGAACAAAGAGCTTTCAGGGCCCTTTTCGCTGAAAACAGCTGCATTTCAAATGCAGGGAATGAGACAAAAGACACTGAGGCATGTTGCAACATGACTGAAGAATAAGCTGACGTCATTGTAAAGCCAAAGAGAACAGTCGTTTTGGATGATGTTCCTTTATCACTCACATTTTGTAGAAAGATATAATAAATATCAGGCCTTCACTAAAAGCCGCTTCTCTAAACTAGCTCGTTTTTGGGTTTTAATGTGACATCTCTCAGCCAAACACTCAGCTTGAACACTTTTCAATTAAATAGCCGCACAGTTTTAAAAGAAGTTTGTTTGCAGCAACCATCATGGGCTGGATTGTCAGTGCAAGTTAAGCTTGTCTGCAAGTATATGAGAGAAAATACCGTTTAGATTTAATAACCAAACATGACAAGATTAATCAGTAAAAGTCATGGTTTTTTTTTTAGCCTGCTGTGATGCAGCACAACTCTGACATCATGAGGCTAAACAGTCATCTGCTGACTGGACAGCTGTCTCACACTGAGGGGAGCTGTCCTCAATCTAATTCTTTATTTGACTGTTTGTTTTCAAAATCTACTGTGTATTTTCTGCATCCCACCCGTGAAAAAGTGCCACAATAGGCGCGGTGCTCCGATTAAGGCCGAATTCAGCTGGAGCCACCAAATACAAACGATTATTGAATGCCAAATTGAAACTTTCCAAAACTTGTTCAAAAGCTTTTTAGTTTTTCTTGGTGTGGCCTAAACCAGCTGAATGTAGCTTTAAAAGTGAATCCAAAAAGATTTGCTGTTTCCTTTTGTGTCATTCACTGCATCACAGGCTATCTTCATCTGAACAACATTCATCTCTGGGATTAGATCTTTCTGGAGTGATCCGGACACAAATGCTCCTTCTTGACTTTTGACATAAATGAATGGTTTTGTTTGGGTCCTGCAGCTGATGAGATTTTTTCCCGACATGAACGCCGACGCCGCAACAAAATCAGCCAATGGGGATCAATTCCAGGTGGGAAAAGGTGTGATCAAAGGCAGACAAGCCGCCATACCACACACACACGCACACACACACACTCAAAGGAGAGAATTATAAAGACACCGCAAACCTCTCCGAGAAAATCAAACCCATCACCACAACATGCATTTCTTAAAGAGACAGAGGGCCGAAAAATGAACTGAAATGACTTTAGTCATTGTGATGCGTTCAATTGGTTGTAAGCACTGTCTCTTCAAGATGTCGGTAAAAGCGCTATTTTTCCTTTTTTCCTATTTACCTGTGCCTTTGGATTCGGTTACCTCTAAAAGCATGCCCCGCTTAGTTTCTGTAGTGTCCGTTTCCATGGTCACCGCAGAGCTCGGCTGTAGTGAGAGAAGAAGGAAGCGGACATGGGGATGCTGTTATGTGATTTACTGCCAGAGGGGGTTGAAGGAGCGAGCGTGCACTTTTAATTGGGAGATCAGGGAAAGAGCTTCCACCTTCCACATGTCCCGCTTTCTATCTGAGCGTCCGCTGCCTCCGAACCAAAAATCTTGGTTCCGTTTGCTCTCACGAGGTGAGTGAATCAAACCGCTGTTTTACGAGCCGTACGAGTTCTAAAGGCCCAAAGTCAGCGGAAATGACAGTTTTGCAGTAAGATATAGGCAGGTGTGAGATTAAAAGGCACACAGAACGTGATGAACGGCGTGGCCCTTTGCTCTGTCTCGTAATGGGCCGGGGTAAGAAAAATAAATCCACAAACCCATCCCTCACTGGCACCTCCTGGATCTGTGGGAACCGGCAAACCTCAGACACCCTGAGAGTTCTGCGTCCTGCCAGCCAACGGCTGTCTACGGCACGCCGCTGGAGCCAGAGGTTTTCAGATGTGCTGCGGAAATGTGTTGTTGTTTTCGTTTTGTTTTTTTTAGGGCGAAACCACAAGCGCAGCCGGCGTGAAGCCCAAAGCGTGCGACGAGACAGTGCTGAGAGAGGATCAGCAGGTGGTGGGCTTCCTTCCCGAGGGGTGACACAGCTGGACAGACTCTCTCAGAAATGTCCCCCCCCCCCCCCACACACACACACACACACACACACACACACACACACACACACACACACACAAAGCCTCTTTGTCTGGCCTGACTCCATCCAGAGCAGAACAAGGAGCAAACAAGCATGTTTGGTGGTAGGAGTGTGTGAACACAGACAGTGCGTGTGTGTGTGTGTGTGTGTGTGTACCGACAGAGACTATGAGGCTGTGTCTGGAAGTAAAGACAGATATTGTGCGTTTTTTGCCATCTCATTGTGTTGGCAGTTGGCAGCCGGTCTTTATGTCGAGCTAGTGTCTGTCTTTTTTTTTTTTGTTTGTTTGTTTGTTTGTTTGTTTGTTTATGAGCGCGAGCGTGAAGTCTGACTGCGACAGGAGCCGGGCGGAGATGGGATGTAAAGCACGAGGAGCAGCCGCGTGCTCCTAGAGAAGCAGGGAAATGCCTTTGACTGGGGGTGGGAGGTTGGGGGGGGGGGGGGGGTAGGGCCCGCCCCCCGGCGGGGGGGCGAATGTCGGTGGCCGGCCTCGCCGACCAAGCAGACGGAGGGACGGAGGGACGGATGGACGCGGCGGGGGGGCCTTATCTACGGGTTTTTACCTAGTCCAGCGGCGCAGCTGGACACGGCTGCGCACCACTGCAGTAAAACCTTAGGAAACATCGACCTGCCCCCCTTTTTTTTCTCTCACAGAGCTCGTCTCACCGGGACGAGCGGCCGCTGCCTCCCGCTGTGGCTTTTGGGAGAAAACGGTGAAATAAGTACAAGACACAGACAAACAGCAGGTTTTTGGGGGGGTTTGTTAGGTGCAATAAGAGAGGGGGAGGTGAGAATGGCAGGGGTGGGAGGGATGGAGAAGATCATCACAGAACATCATCTGTGAGGGGACAAACCTGAAGGGCCTCTCCTGATATACAACCATCCTCACTATCGGCATAATCTTAGAATTTAAGAGTTAGAAACAGAGCTCTCAGTCATGCCTGGGTCCCAGGAAGTTCCAGCCGCCTCTGGTTTCTGTGGCGACCCGCCGTGCAGCAGCCAGGCCCAGAGGAGTCACCACACAACAAACCCCTCCACCCCCCCCCCGACACCAGGCAGACAGGAAATGCTCCCGTTCCTCCCGAATCATCCGGTCGTCCGGCGGGAATACCCAAGTGCACTTGACATTTAGCTGAGCGTAAGGTTCGTGGAAAAGTGGCCCACGCTTATCGGAGGTTTGCTGTGATTAATCACCGTCTGCTCAATCTGCTAGAACAACAGAGGCAAACCGTTTGCAAAGCGAGAGAGAGACGTGCTCTGCTAACCCATTCCACATCAGCGATCATGCTTTTATAGTCCTTCTGTACAAGAAAGAAAGAGAGACGATCGTCTTTCAATTCCAGTGTTTAACCTACCAGGACCTATAAATAAACCGTCTGAATATTCCCTGATCGTAGCGAACAACATTTTCATTTATTCAGGCAAACTGAGCCAAAACACAGAAGCAAATAAACCGAATTAAGTTCCATGGTTTTAATCGCTTTTGGAACCAATTCTCAGCAGCAAATAACTGGTGTGTTATTGTGTTGTCGCTGTTTTACTCTTCCTCACTCTGTGTAGGCCAATGTCAGAGTCCCAGCACTGAACCAGGCTCATGACTCCTCCACCACTGTGCCTCTCAGTTGGCTGAGGTTTACAATGAATTCATGTTGGCATCATCTCTCCAGATGCGGACCCTTCAGATGCTTTCAAACCGAGCACCGCCAAAAATTCTGCTTTTGCTAATGATGAGCTGACCAAGGAAACCTGACCGGCATCGTCTGGCCAGTGGCTGTACCTCTTAATACTTACGAAAACAGTATTGACGGGCCTAGTTTTCACCCTTTGGGCCTTTTGGGATGTGTTTTTGCAGTAATAAAAATCATGAATAGCATGTGTTGCGAGGCACATTTACCTCATTCGACTTTTTCGCCATTACAATATATACATATATATGTATTTAAACCTCCCACTTGAAAAAGGACAAACTCTCTTTTTCACATGATTGCATGGAATTCAAGGGGATCGCAGAGTCTCAGTCACAGAGTTCTCAGCTTTCATGCAGGCCTATGAGCCTAAGTGCTGGGGGGTCCTACAGTGGTCCTCATCAGAGGGGTTTGCACGTGGTTCTGTGCCGACGTCCAGATTAGATGCCGGACGAGCTTTTGAAATAATACGCCAACAATCAAATAAGCAATGAAATGAGGGCTCTGGAGAAAGATGAGCGCAAATCTAAAGTCAAGACGTGCTGCACATAGACTGAAAAGTACAAATGCAAAACAAATAAGCATCGCTGGTCTCCTCAGCTAGACATTCACCCACAGACAAATGTTCTTCATATCTGTAAATCATGTTCTATGCCAACACACTTTGCCTGTGAAGGGTCCATTCAAAGCCGTCCCTGACTGTTGTCTGCTTACAGCCATAAGCAGAATACAGTCCTGCCCCTCAAACATAAAGGCCCACGCTTGCAGCAGAAACACTGAACCGCATTTATTTTCATGCAAAGCTCTTCTCCTTCTGTCTTATTTTAAAAGGTGAAGCGAATGAATGTCGCGTGATCATCAAAGGCTCCTTTCGGAATGAAGCCTGAGCTCTGTGTGTGTTAGCTCTCACGTTTGGTTTAGAGCCCAAACTCAAAGTGCATGTGCTTCCGCATGGAGAGTTGCAAGGAGTTGCATCCATGCAACTCTGAAACAGATGGAACAGTCTTTTCTGTAGCTTCTCATAAGAACAACTGAGTCTAAAAATATGCATGTTTATCCCCACATCTCTCATCAGCTTCCCCCACTGACGGGCTTCTCTTTGGGGCTACGTCTACACAAGCCATTCCATCCTGCAACGGTCCACCTTGCGTGGCTGAGATCCTTGTTAGAGGCGCGGGGCAAAAACATGGAAACACCTGAGGTAATCCGAACTGAAGGGGTTCCGAGCACTCCTCTCCACCGCGGGCACAAAAGGGGGCGAATGAAGCAAAACAATGGATTTGAGTGTCACATTCAGCGTGTATCACATGGCCATGGTTATATTTTCCACATCAGCTAACGGCTAACTGACAATGCTCAGGTGTCCAAACAGTCACCTCAAAGTAGCTCCTCCCCTGTCAAGAGCATGGAACACCAAAATATTGACATTTGAGATATTTACGGCTGGCAAATATTTAAAATTCAGATCAGTAGGATTAACAGACTTCAGAAAACAACCAAATAAAATGTTTTGGGTTTTTTTTGTGCCCACAACCAGTCTATTAAACGATCAACTTAGGTGAAACTACTAACCTTTAGCTCTTATGCATTAGGGGTGAGGCTGACAGTATAAGAATGCCTTCTTACCGTCCTTCAGTGGCTCTGTGCGTATTTCTGGGAGCGTGTGGACGTTCCACCTGCCTGCTGTCACTGCATCTAGGGCATTACCTGGAGTCAGGTGTCAGGTGCAGTCAGTACTCAGTTGTGCGTGTGTGCGCACCAGTGTGTGTGTGTGTGTGTGTGGGTGTGGGTGTGAGGGCGCGCAGCAGAGCAGCTCCGTAAAGATCTCCAAAATGTCTCGTATCGTTAAAATGTGGCCGGTGCATCTGGAATTTTTTTGAAAAAATCAATTAAAAGAAAACGACATCGGCGTGGGCCCGTGAGTGCGCGCCGGAGACGAGCGCGCGTGCGCCCCTGAGGATGGGGCGTTCTCCTGTGTCTGCCGGTGCTGCCCGGGCCAGGGGAGGCACAAAGTCCCACTTTGTTTCCCCCCTGCCCGGGAGAACAGAGTGGCATTCACCATTTCAAATGGCCGACGCGCACAAAGACTCACATTGTGGGTCTGCAGCGGCGCGCTCCACATGTGCCGCGATAATAACTGTTTGTAGCGCATCAAACCGCAGCCGTTTAACGGCGTGATGGATCCACCATCCAAAGCGTTATCAAACACCCACGAGCTGATGGTGGAAGTTATATTAAGAACGATCGGCTCCATAATCATCCCTAAAGGGGCGAACAGAAGCCCGTTCCTTTTACCCGAGTGGCCCCCATCAGGACACGACCGCCTGAAATCCTCATTTTTGCAGTTTTCTCTGATCATGATGGCGCTAAGCATCAGTGTGGGGTTACTGTTTGAACGAGGGCCGCTCCCTCACTCCCCAGTTTTGGCAGCATCACACTGCAGTCTCTCAGGGATATGGTAATGATGGGGCTTTTACCACCCCGGCTGCTGCCTATAATACAGCGGCGCACTACTTCAAAGACATACGGCTCTCTGACTGACAACACGCAGGGAATAGAACCCCCCCCCCCAGTGAAGAAGCGAGAACATGCTCTCACACAGATATATTCTCTCACACACACACACACAGAACCACGCAGCACAGACTCCTCCTAATTCCAGTTTCCCCTCCTTTTTTTTTCTTTTAGAAAAAGAGGGTCACACACCCTAAGCTATAAGTGGTACTATGTACAGTCATTCAGCATTCTCACAGAGAGGATAATAAATAGCTGAATACATGAATGTTAATTGGCAGATGAATTCTAAGAAATGCTTTGACCCAAGAAAATAGATGGAAATGCACATTTGCATCCTACAAATAAACCAAAAAGCAGGAATGTAAAATACAGTCTAGCTTTTTATCAATTCAATCTGCAGCCTAATGGACCTGCTGGGAAATTCTGTGACCCATATTTGTTAAACATTTCTGTTAAAATGGTGTGGAGAGTGGTGGCATAACACAGACAGTACAATGAGTCATATAGAGTAAAAAAACAAACAAACTAAAATGTCCTATGTAATGATATATATTGTTGCACATCCATGGAGCACATTTCTGAGGAGTGGATGATTCGTTGGATCACATGGGACTGAATAATTAGGACAGTCCTCATTACACCTTAGACTGTAACTACAGGATTTAAAAAAAAAGAAAGAAAGCGGTGTAAATATGTTCAATTCTGACAACGATTATCTTTGAAAGTTTCCAAACCTTTCTAGAATCAAATTCTTCATTTATTTTAGAGACATCTGGTTATCTTAGTGATTTTTGGAATCCAAAAAGTCCCCATGTTAGTTTTATATTCTGACCATTTATGCTGAATATTGGCAGCCATTAAACCAAACAGGTACTTTTTCTCATCCAACTCAACTCCAGCCACAGCAAGCCCAGCCCAGCATTTCACAGCCCTTCCACCATCACACAGGAGGAATGGACTCTGCTCAACATAATGAAGCGATGATATTTTCGTTTTAACCCATTTTGTATCGAGTCTATTTTAGAAATAGAAATGAAAGACTCAGTATAACAAACCAAGAGGTTTGATATTTTCATTTTTGGCAAACTAAAAGATGACAAAAACAGCTATGTCTACGTTATCCAGTATACAGAATCTATAGAATTTAACATTTTACATGATTAAAAAAGGAAGAGACATATCTGTCCAATCCCTTTTCCCCTTAAATGTCAGGTCAGGATAACAATTTGAAAAAATCCTTGCTTTTTGCAACTACTATGGCATACATAGATTTGATCATTAAAAAAATAACCTGAGATTGGAATTCATTACAAATATTAGTACAGTTTTTAGACCCATAATCAGGAAAATGCCTGTTTGTAAGTGTTTTTTTGAAAACACTGAAGTGTCTGCCTACCACTTTGCTGAAATATATTAAAAACAAGGAGCAGACAGACAATCAGATAAGTCTGAGAATTAAATAAACAGTTCAGAATTTTATAGGAGGGCATCTGCTATAGGGTAGGTCTTTGGTCTCAGATTAAACAGATGCATGCCCTTGCTTGGGGAAAATAAACAAATAAATAAATGCACTCAGCATATCTGTCTGGAAGATGTCATCTTAACCACCGTTTGGTGGCGACGTGTTGTTTAAAGGGCGGATGAGAACATCTGGAGCATCTAAAAGATGATCGACTCCCATCAGATGGCGTCTCTCCTCAGCAGGAAACAATCAACACCTGAGCAGCCTCCAGGTATACTCACAACTCCCTATAGTCAGGTAAAAAAAAATCTATGCTCTAGTACCCAGGCATCTAGTCTCCCTGGCTCTTGGCTCAGCACCAAAACGCATGTTCTGACGAACGTCGATTAAAAAGCCTTTAAATCCATCATCATTTCATTTTTCTCCCCCCACCATTCCCTCTCACACGCACAGGCCTGCATATGGCCCCGCGCATGCTTGCACCTGACTCAAGCATCCTGACATTTTCAGATGGTTTTATGGAGGATCTCATGGTGAGAAAGACCGGGGGGCTGTTTTTTTTTTTTTGGTGGAGGGAGCCCAAAGGCACCGATCGATGGGTAACCGTTAATGGCAGATTAGCGGATGCTGCCGGGCAGGGATTACAGCCCGTTAGATGCAGTGTGGCGGCCGCTCTGAGAACAAAAGAACCCGGCCTCTGTTTTCACACATATTCCCCCACAGATGACACACGAATGGCGTTCGGTTGATAAGCCGTGTTTTCCGGAAGGTTTTACTAGGCAACGATTAGCCCCAATTTGACGGCGTTGGCGCATTTCAAGTCGGATCAAATTGCAAGCCTCAGCCCATCATCAGCACAAACACACACACACAGACACACACATATACAGAAACACACACACACACACACACACATGTGGAATGGATGGAGCAGGAGATCTGAGTAGGTCAGTGGTGAATGAGGAGTGGGCTACGGTGACAAGGTCACCCGTGCGGAGAAAACCGGATTAAAAAACTGTCAGCACAAACACGAGCAATGTGGTAGGAAAAAAAAGGGAGAGATTCCCACCGGTTTGGCCTGAGAAGCGCGGATTCCTCTCCCCTCTCTCTCTCGGATCGGCGCGCGGAGGCAAAACGCAGCTCCGGCTGCTCGGAGAACCCTTTTGTGTTGCTGATGCTGCGGGTGCCCGACAGGGGAGACGCACGCACGGACGCACGCGCCCACGCACGCACGCACAGACCCCCACAACGGCCCCGCACAGCTGCACGCGTGCGAGACGGAGACGGATGCTGGAGGGAGGGAGGGTGTGGCCGGCGGAAGGAGAAGAGAGGTGGCGGCGACCGACGCGAGCCGCGCGCGCTACGGAGGGAGGACGTAAGCGCGCGCACGCGGAAGGCGTTAACGGGTCGAGGTTGAATGAACGGACGCGCTGCGGCCGGCCACCCCGTAAGGGAAAGGCAAGCGCGCAAACGCGCACGCACGCAAACGCACGCGTGCCCCTGCGGGCGACGTCTTGTGTCCGCGCGCGTCAGACACGCTGAGATAACGTTTCTGTTAGTCAAATAGTTCAAGCTCTGTTCCCATTTGTGGTCATTTTAACCGAAGCAAAAATGCAAAAACGCTTGGGTCGTTAGACAAGACAGTAGAGCTAAACCCTTTTTGGGCTTTGGGTTGTTAGACATTCGTATATTTCAAAACACAAAGTAGGCGTATTTTTCTTTACTTTCTGAAGTTCTGCAAAAATGCCAGAGAATGAATGCATAGTTGCCTGAATGTGTTTAATATGGGAGTTTGAAATGCAAAGAAAAAGGATGAAATCGATCCCCCCCTTCTTTTGATCATTTGACAGGACATTGACCTTTAGTCTATGGACTGAACACGACTTGAAAAGTAAAGGTGAAAGCAAAAAAAACAAAAAAAAGATGCAGATGTTGCCTCGTGACACATTGTATTTACACTGGACACGACTTTCTGTAAACCAGACGTAACTAGGTGGCTGGTTAAAACCGAGGTGAGTCCAGTTTTCAGCCGAATGGGAAAAAAGAAAAGAAAAGACAGCCTCCTCCATGTCCCACGTGACTGTCCTCTTAGTCCCAATAACTCTAATCCAGGATGCTGCTTAAGTGAAACTACTTTGAGGATGCATAGAGGTTTTCAATCCAGAAATATCTGGGATGGGAAATAAGATTGGACTTTTCAAGCCTTTTTGAACAACTGTGAACATCCACACTAATGTGGAGGCAGACACGAAGGGATCCTGAAACTACATCTCCCAGCGTGCCTGCTGACAGGAGGAGGTTCCGGGGAGACCGCGCACAGCACCCCATTTTGCATTAAACTGCTGTCAGCTAAGGAAAAAAAAACATTACTTCGAAACTAGTGCAGCTTTAGTGACCTTTCCTTTAATTTATTTTAGATTAGCCATAGAGAAAGAAAAGGGGAAAAAAGGGGATATTTTTTTTTTTGGGGGGGGGGGGGGTTCCAGAATATTTTATTGCAGCGGCCCAAACAGGAAGTGCTACATTAGCAAACTTCCAGCTCGTCCGAACTTAAGTATGAGTACGTGGTAGGTAACAAGGGGGTAAATGTCCCACGCATTACTCAGTGTCCCCCCCCCCTGAACAAAAAGACTGACAAAGACCAGAGAGACCAACGGTCCCACGAAGGCAGGGCGGCGGCATGCGAAGCGGCTCGGTGGGGAACTTTCGGGGCGCGGGGAGCTCTGGCTCCGTCCGCCGGGGCTCCGCCGTGCTGCCGTCGGTTCTAACGTTCTTGGTGATCGTAGCGTCCGGAGGCCTGCTGCTCATGATTGAGAAAGGAATGCTGAACGGCGTGGAGACGCCTTCCCCCCGCGGGAACGGCCAGCGGCCGGACCCGGCCGGGCACACGGCCAAACGCAGCCCGGGCGGCGCGGACGTGGATTTCCAGGTGAGGCAATGAAGCGCACCGCGGAGCCCGCGTCCCGAACGCGGCCGGGCTCACGCGACAAAGTCTTTCTAAATCAGGTTTCCTAGCAACGGGAGGCGTATGTACCGGTCGTATTGGCATTTTTGTGTCAGTTAAAGTTAAGTTTCCACTTAGTTTGTTGTTTTTCCCCAACATACCCTGAAAACATACGAACTGACAGGCTTGGAAAGTTCAGTTTATGCAACTGGACGTCTAGAAGACGTTTCGCCTCTCATCCACGGTGGGGAGCACTGAGATGAATATACTGTAGGTGTAACAAAGGAATTAAGCTCTGGTGAGGGCAGGTGAGAGGTGAATCTTCTGGGTATTGTCGTAAAAGTGCTCTGTAAGTAGGTGGCAGGTTGTGTCTTAGACCACCTCCTCTGTTGAGTGATGGTTTTTCCAGGTTAACAAAGATGGCTTCCCTAACCCCTCTCTCAAACCATCTGTCTTTCTTGGCCAAAATGTGGACGTTGTTGCCCTCAAACCAGTGTCCTTTAGCCTTCAGGTGTAGGTGACCAGCGGAGTCCTGTCCTGAGGAGTGTGTTGAGCCATACGGGTGTGTAGTGGTTGTTTGGTCTCTCCAATGTGCAGCTCTGTGTACTCTTCACTACACTGAGCAGCGTAAACCACGTTGTCAGTCTTGTTTCTGGGCGTCTTGTCTTTGGGGTGAGCCAGTTTTTGTTTTAGGGTGTCACCAGGTTTGAGGTGCACAGGGATCTGTTGCTGGTTGAAAATCCTCCAGAGTTTGTTCCCGAGACAATGGAATGTAGATGTTCCTTCTTCTGTTTTCTTCCCTCTCGGCAGGCCTCTTCTTGTAGCGATAGGTCTTCATGGGTGTCCTGATATGTCCCTGTTCTCTCGTCTTCCCTCTGGTGGTGGTGGGAATGGTTTCTGCTCGTTTCTGGAGGGTTCTGATGATGCTTAGTTTGTGTTCCAGTGGGTGGTGTGAGTCAAAACGGAGGTCCTGGTCGGTGTGTGAGGGTTTCCTCTAGACGTCTATGTTGAGTTGTTTGTCTTCAATGACGTGAACCGTGCAGTCCAGGAAGGCAAGGCTGTCCACTTTCACATCTTCCCGGGTGAACTTGATGTTTCTGTCCACTGCGTTGATGTGGTCCATGAATGTCTCGATATCCTTGGTCTTTATTTTAACCCATGTGTCATCTTATCTGAATCAGTGACTGGATTTAGTTTCCATGTATGAGTGAAGGGCTCTGCGTGAGACACAGGAGACCCCATAGCTCATCCATCTTTCCGTCAGTTAGAACTGATGAAGCCTCTTAGACGAGATGCGAAACGTCTTCTGGAAAAACTTCATGTCCAGTTGCCCAACTGAACTTTTCAAGCTTGACCATGGCCTGGATGACTGAGAATCTTCACAGATATGATACAAACTGAAATTTTCTGTTGGATTTCAAACTTAAATGTTGGGTAACGCATCAGATTTAACTCCAACCTCAACTTTAAAATAGTACCTTTAACATTTAAAGCAGGTATTTTAGGGCAGTTTTCATTTGAATGAAAATCCAAGCAGCAACTTTACAGTGTATTAACAGTAGTTAAAGTCCTGCCCAGGTTTCAAATCTTGGGATACAAACTTCGAAAGTGATTATGTTGTTGCTTTTTTAAACCCCCTTTTTGTGTTTACTTTCAGATCCTCCAGGAGATCCGCAACCGGACCATCAGGACGGTGTGCAGCCAGAAGAACATGCCCCACAGCGTGTGGTCGCTGAGCCCGCTGCAGAGGAGGACGCTCCTGCAGCACATCCTGGTGAACGACGAGCACCGCTTCCTCTACTGCTACGTCCCCAAAGTGGCCTGCTCCAACTGGAAGAGGGTCCTGAAGGTCATGAGCGGTGCCCTGGACAGCGTGGACGCCAGCATCAAGATGGACCACCGCAGCGACCTGCTGTTCCTGTCCTCGCTGAAGCCGGAGGAGATCCGCTACCGCCTGGCGCACTACTTCAAGTTCATGTTCGTGCGCGAGCCCATGGCGCGCCTGCTCTCCGCCTACAGGAACAAGTTCGGCGAGATCGAGTCCTACCAGAAGAAGTACGGCGTGGAGATCGTGAAGCGCTACCGGAAGGGCCGCGCCAAGGACGCCGCCGCGGCGGGGGACGACGTCACCTTCGCCGAGTTCGTCCGCTACCTGCTGGACGAGGACGCCGAGCGCATGAACGAGCACTGGATGCCCGTCTACAACCTGTGCCAGCCCTGCGCCGTCTCCTACGACTTCATCGGCTCGTACGAGCACCTCCAGGAGGACGCCCAGCACGTGCTGCAGCGCGTGGGCGCGCCCCCCTCCGTCCACTTCCCCCAGAGGCAGACCTGGTACAAGCCGGTGACCGCCCAAACGTTGCACTACTACCTGTGCGGCCTGCCGCAGAAGCTCCTGAGAGAACTGCTGCCCAAATACATTTTAGACTTTTCCCTTTTCGCTTACCCGCTCCCCAACACAACCACTGAACACTGCCGACACTAAACCAATCGTTTTAGAGCCTAGAGATTATTTTTCTGAGATAAATCAGTGCCTTTGGTTTTTTTACACCTTGGAAACACAGTATTTTGAGACCTTTGCCTTTTTCCATTGTTTTTTACACGTTTTCCTGTCACTGCAAAATGCTGAACGCTGGGAAAAGACTTCAAACCACTAAAGCTTGAATTCCTATTAAAAATAAATCTTTGAATATTTTTTAAGGACAGACCAACCCAGTTTACTTTTAAAGTATTGACATATTGCAAACCTGAAAGAAGGTTAATGAATGATTTAAAAAAAATGTTTTCATCCCATTTGATAAATTACCATCAAACAAAATGCTGTGCAGTTTGATTATTTTGAAATCTCTTTATTTTAAAAATAAGTTAGTCATTTTCTTTAAAAAACAAAACAAAAAAACATGAATATTAAACATTATACACAAATCTTCTAGGATGCCAAACACTTTCTGTTCCTAACTGTATCTGTCAGAGTGTTCTGAATCAACCAGTTCCAAAACCTCAAAGTGAGCGTGTGTGAGCAGAGTTAAGGTAAGGCTGTGTTATTTGAATAAAAACGCCATTTTCTTTAATCAACACAAATGTTTGTCCTCGTCCGGTCGGACAGAACAATGAAGCTGCTCTTAAAACGCCCTTTCGGAGGGGCTTGCATTTCATGTCTACCGTTTCCTGACTCACTCATCGCCCCCGAAGCTTACGCTCCTGAAAGAGAGAACCGACAGAGGTTTTGAGAACGCAGCCAAAACGCCTGAAGGCTTCGTTTAAAAAAAGAAAAGAAAAAGAACCCGACCGGTTTTTCTTTGGTGTGGTGGCCTCTCTTTCTTACTTGTCTGTCGACCTGTCGCTGGAGCGGTCAAGCGTTCGGAGGATGGAGCGCTCTGTGGAGGCGAGCTGCGGACTGCTGGACACGTTCAGGGACGAGGAGCTGTGCAGGGAGGAGAACGACAGGCCCCGTCTGCGCATCTCCTGGACCGCCCTTTCCCTAAAGACAGAAAGGTCTATAGCATCCCCACCAGTCCTATACATTGTGGTCTACACAGTTCCATCTCATGAACAAGTAGAACTTCAGTGATTCTTAAGTGTCAGAGTATCTTCAATGAACTGTGCAGCCTTAGAGCTAATATTCAAATCACCAGCTGAGCCCTGGCTCCTTCTTGCTACGTAATGAGGGTTTTAAATGGGTGTTTTATTCGCTACAGGAGAGCTACAGCTCTAAGCATCCCTGGACAGTTAAAGCGGCTCACCTCTCGAAGCGCTCAGAGGTCAGCTGCCTTCTCAGCACGTCCATCTCGGTCTGCAGCTGGGACACTTTGCCGCGGAGCTGGGACACCTCTCGGGCGTGCTCTGCACTGTTTTGCACACGTTGGAATCGTTTTAAAACGCTCGTTTGCAAAATCTTATAAGACATAAAAAAATGTAAAAAATGTGCGGGACTGGACTTATTCACTTTTTGCTGTCGGCCAAGGTGAGCCTGTCGCGCAGCACCTTCAGCTCCGACTCTCTCTCGCTGGCGGTCAGATGGGACTGGAACTCTTTTTGCCGGTTGGTGGACAGCAGAGCCTCCAGGTTGCGTATGGTCAGCCTCTCGCTGGCGAGCTGCTGCTTCAGCAGCTCCGTCTCTGACCGGACGTCCTCCAGTTCTCCTGTGACCTGCCGAGGGGGAGCGGGGGCGTGAGGGGGCCGGCGCCTGGGGGCTTGAAGGGGCCCGGTCAGAAGAAGCCGTACCCTCTCCAGGTGCATGCTCTTGGCGGTGAGCTGGCGAGCGACCAGCTCCTTCCCGGAGTCCAGCTTGACGCAGAGCTCCCTGACGGAGGCCACGTCCGAGAGGAGGGCGGTTTTCTCCTCCTGGGCGTTGTGGAGCTCCTCCTCCAGCCGGGACATGCCGTGGACCAGCGAGGACACCTGGGCTTCGTAGGCCTGCAGGGCCTGCGTGTGCTTAGAGAGGCAGCGGGGTGACAGGTCAAGCGGGCCGCGGGCGGACAGACCGGCATGCTGCGGTCTCAGAGAGCCGAAGCCAAACGGCTGGACATGAAATGAATCCGGGTCTCACCTGCTGGATCTCTCGCTCCTGCTGGCCGACGGTGTCCCGGAGTCTCCGGCGCTCGGTGTCGGAGGACAGCAGCTCCAGGCGGATGGAGTTGTTGAGGCCCTCGGCCTTTTGCAGCTTCTGATCCCGCTCATCCGCCTCCGAGTGGGCCATCCTGAAGCGCTCCAGCAGGTCCCGGTTCTCCTGCTCCTGAGGGGGCCCAGCAGCAGACGGTCAGCGGAGGGGGGCCGGGCGGCAGGCGGAGCCTCTTAACCGCTCTAAAGGACTAAAGGGGGGCTCTCGCCTTGGCCGCCATCAGCTTCTCGATCCGCGACACCTCGGAAATGTACGAGTGGACCCTCGACTTTAGCTCGTCCCTCTCGTGCAAAGCCTCCTCCATCTCCACGTGTACGGCCTGAAAAAGGAAGGCATTTCTCATTTTTGTCTAAGAGGCAAAAGGTTGACGCTGTGAAAATTACTGTGAAGAATTACTTGGTTCTCTCGGGTCATCGTGGCCAGGTCATCTTGCAGCCTTCTGTTCTCTCTGATGATGATCTCTTTGTCCCTCCTGAGCGCGGCCAGCTCCTCCTGGGAGGCGTCCAGCTGCCTCCTCAGACTGCCGGTCTCCCTCTCTCGGCTGTTTAAGGCTCCCTGCAGCTGACTGAGGGAGTCATTCATCATTTTATTAGTGAGGAAAAAAACAGACCTAGACAGAGATATTCAGATGTACCATGAAAGCACCACACTCACGCCAGCGAGTTGTCCATGTTTTTGACTGTGAGTCTCACATCTTCAAGGTTCTTTTCCTGTGTAGGGAACCCCCCAAAAAAGAGTTTTTTCAAAATGTACTATTAAAGATTAAATGTAAGAGATTAGGGAAAATACACTCACAGTCCTATTATTTTCTGGTCTTTTTTCTGGTTTTAATCCATCTCTTTTTTTTTTTATATCAAATTTTTATCCTTTTCAATTATTTTTTTATTTAATACAACAATACTAAACCCACACTTTATGACTAAGATGGCTTTTAATAAAAAAAACCCTCATTCCAACACTGAATACAGGAATTTTATATGCGAGCGTGAAGAGATTGACGATATATTTGCAAAACAAAACAAAAAAAACCCATAAAAAAGCTGTAATCTCTGGGGATTGCTGTGACTGCTACCTTCTTGGTTAGCTCCTCTTGGAGAGCGACCAGCTTTTCGGTCTTCAGATCCACCTCATCCTGCAGGGCGTCCTTCTCTCTGTCCAGGGTAGAAACTGACCTCTGGAGGGCAGTTACTTCCTCGCTGTGCTTCGCGCCGTGCTGACTCAGCTCCGCTGGGAACGGAAAAAGAAAAGAAAAACAAAACAAAACCAACCTTGGGTGAACATGAGCAAATGTAACCGTCACAGTGACATCACAAAACGGAAATAGAACAGAGCAGAAGTGGAACACTCACCCAATCTCCCCTCCAGCTTTTCGATCTGGCCGTGAGCTGCATGAAGCTCATTCATCTTCACAGACAGCCTGTGCTGCGTGTCCACCAACGTCTGCTGCATCTGCTCCTGCTGCAGCCTGAGGATGGAAAAGAAAATTAATTAAAAAAGATTAAGCTTTCCAACATGCACATGGAGATAAGCATCGTTCACCATTAACGGACGTCGGTTTTTCGCTATGTTTTTGTTTTGTTAGATGGGTTTGATACAAAAGTCCAGCACACCATTTAAAGCCCCGACACGGCTGTCGTTAAGAGCAGATCTCACCTCAGAGCGCTCGCCTCGGCCCTCCGCTGAGTGACCTCCTCCGAGCTGTGGACCCGCGCTGCAGACTGGACCCTCAGCTCCTCCTCGGCGGCGCCTCTGGCCTCCGTCAGCAGACACACCTGCGAGTGCAGCTCCTGCCGCTCTCGCTCCAGCTACAAAGGAAAAAAACAAACAAACGAACACACTGACATGCCGGCGAGGCTGAAATGTGGGGCGGCGCCTCGACAGTCGACGAGGAGGAGGAAAACGTTTGAGGGTGACTCACGCTTTTCACGGTGTTCTCCAGGTCGAAGATCCTCCGCTCCTCTGTGTGTCTGTCCGTGAGAGAGAAGGTCTGGACAACCTCCAGATAAATTCAAATCGTGAGTTACAACGGCGTCCCTGCTCAGTCTAACAGCCTGAGAACACTGACAGTCTTTTCTGAGGGGAGCTGAACAGGTCGTATCAAGATTATCAGCTAACGGGCTATTTAAGTCTAAGAAATGCTAAAACATTGAAGGAAAACTACTACGGAACTTTCTGAAAGCGTTAGACAAATGTCCTATTTTTAAATGAAACCCGGATGAGATTAATTAGAATTAAATCTCTACATTACAAAGCAATTAATGATGTGATGAGCGTAGAGCTTACAATGGATGCGCTTCCAGAAACTGTGTAAAATGGTCCTAATTGTGACACATGACCAACCTTCAGTCTCTCCATCAGTGTTTCCCTTTCAGTGGTCATCTGATCAATCTTTAGATCTGCCCGTTTGAGCTCCTCCTGCAGTTTTAAGACCTCGGCTGACTTATCGACGCTTTGGGCAAACCGGAGCTCATCTTGAGCCTGGATGGGAGAAATACATCTGGTCCTTACAACAAAAGAAAACTACTTTTCTTATATTAGAATTGTTGTTGTTATTCAACGTCTGGAAAACAACCCGGGTCTACCTGTTTTAAAAGGGTTTTGAAGTGGTCTCTTTCGTCGCTGAGGCCCTTCACACTGCTCTGAATGTCCTCTACGTGCTTCTCGATGTTCAGCAGGGCCGCCTTAAGCTCGTCCCTCTCCTTCATCACCTGCAAAAGCTCCGATTCTGCAACACCTCCCTGAAAAACAGCAGCCTGCTCTTTTAAAGGAGAGCTTTCTAAGCTTCAGAAAACATAATGATTCGAGGATTCTATTACCTTGCTAAATTTGGATTTTGGACTTCTGCCTCTGTCTGGACTGCGACTGGGGCTCAAACTTGTCCCTCTGACTCTTTTGTAGCGCTCAGCCTCTTGGCGATAGTGATTTCTCTCCTCCTCTAGGCTCTTTACGAAGGCGTCTAGTCGAGATGGGGATCGTTCTCTTCCACAGACACCATGTTTAGCGCGCATTGTCTCCAGCTCCAGTACCAGCTCTTTGTCTACGAAGACAGCAAAAATTCATTACATCGTTTAATGTAAAAAAACAAAAAACAGAACAAAATCAAAAAGAGCAAACGTGATAAGGTTTAACAACTCTCGCCCACCGGCAGCCAGCATCTTTTCCACTTTGTCCTGCAGCCTGGTTTTCTCGTCCTCCAGGAAATTCACCAGTCCCTCCATCTTGTCGCTCTGTTGTTGGAGCTCGGCCAGCTGATTTCTGAGACGGTCGTTTTCAAATTCCCCCTCAGCCCTCTCCTGGATGCAATCAGTCTAAAGTTAGATGGTTCAGCCTCAACACTAATGTTAAACAGCTGCTAGCAAAAGTATTGACCCCTCTTTGTGGTTTTGTCAGTTGCTTTTTCCCGCATTAGATACTTTTCAATTTCAGTTCACTTTTTATGTGTTATGTATATCATTTTAAATCCATTAAGCAAGGCATAAATGTTAAAAGGCAAATAGTGGGGCACACTTGTGCTCTCCTAAAGCTCAGACGATCACAGAAAACCAAAAATTGGTCCAATGAAACGCACCCTCTTTATGTTTGTGATGACATCCTCCAAGTCTGCAATGATTTTCTGCTGCCTTTTCATTTCTTTCTGTTGCAAAAAGACACAAAAAAAGGATTGGTGATTTAATTTTACAACATAATGTTCCCTTATTTTTTTGTTTGTTTTCTTCTGTCTCACTTTAGTTTCTAGTAGCTCCATGTCGGCCGTTTCCAGCACGCGGTCCTTGTCCATCTCCAGCCGCTTTGCTAGATGGTCTATGTGGGTCAGTTCTTCACACAGTTCCAGGTTCTTTAAAGACAGGTTAGCCACTTCGCTGGAGGCGTCCTTTTTTTTCTGCAGCAGTCCCTCAACCTTCAGCTCCAGGGATCTGTTGGCCTCCTGTAGGTACTCAATCTGTGTGGTGTAGAGCAAAAGATTAGAGCAAGTGGGCACCTCCAGACTTTTTCCACCAGAGGAGCCTCAAAAGGGGGCACCGCTTTCACAACATTCCGTCAGCTCACCTGCAGGTTAAGATGGGCGATCAGCTTCTCGTTGCTGATGTTCTGAGCTTCAAGGGAGACGACATCATGAGGTCGCCCTCCGCGAAGAACATGATTCAGACGCTCAATTTCTTTATCCCTCCCCTCCACCTTTTGAAATAAACAAATCACCTTACAGCAAAGGCACCCTCTATCATGCAGCGTTTCGTGTCCGTTTACCTTTCTTACCTGTGAGTTTAAATGCGTTATGCACTCTTGGGAATTTTCAAGGTCTAGTTTGAGTCTAATGATGTCTTCTTGAAGTTCATTTATTCTACATTAGAAGTATGATAGAGGAAGTTAGTGGTCACATCTCCAAGCGCAACCAACAGCCTGCACATTCACTGACGAACCGACACTCATCCTAATAACGTTGTTAAGCTTTGTCAAAGGAGAACAAACCTCCCATCAGCCAGCAGCAGCAGGTCTGCTACATATGGATCGTCGGGCTGCAGAACGGGATAACCAGATGTGGAGGGAGGGACGAGCTCATCGATCTGCATCCTCTGCCGCCTAAAAGGAATGCTGCGCTTCTTCCCACCTGAGGCAGAGTGAGGACGGTCACCGTAATGGATGCGGACAACGCGATGCCAGATTAAAAAATAAAAGAAGTAAAAGCTGGAGACTTTACCTGGCGTCTGCACAACAGCTTGCATGTTCTTTTCCTGCAGCTGCTGGATGCGCTCGGCTTTAGCTTTGCTGTCCTTCTCCAGGCTGCGAACCTTATGCACATACTGGTTGTTCAAAAACTTTAGGTCAGACGTCTCGTGGTCCAGTTTCCGAATGTGGGTTTTGAGCTCTGGAAACAGACACGATAGTGTGTTCTCTCAAAATGAGCATTCTGTGCCTAGGAGTTAGAAACATGGTGTGTGTGAGGGGGTAACTCTCAGAAGTACCTCTGGTTACATGCTCTTTTTCCTCCCTCAGCTTCAGAAGCTGAATGTGAAGCTCGTTGTTTTCCTTGACCACTCTGGCATTCTCCGCCCTGTAGGGCTCCAGGAGCGCGTCAACATTCCGGCTTTCCTTCTCACTTTTCCCCGCTGACAGTTTGGCATTGCGCAGGCTCTCGGTTGTATGGACCAGGTCACTGAAACAGAGAAGGGCGGATAGCTTTTTATCACCCGTTATCCCCTTGGTGATAAAGTAACGGGTGGCAGAGGGGGTTTGAGGGTTCAACCTGAACAGTTTCTCCACCAGTGGCAGCGACTCTATTCCGAGGGGCTGCCGGTAGCCCAGCTGATCCAGACGTTTCCGTAAGTTGACGAATTTCCTCTCCGCGCTGCTGTTCATGGCTGTGACGTGGTAAAAGCCGCTAACTTCGAGAAATATTTTACAAGACGTGGGGGGACATACCTAAAAAAGATAAGCACTGCAAATGTTACTGAATGATATGGTTCCCGGAAAGATTCTAAAATTAGCTTGGAGGGCCTATTTGCCGTTTGCTAACAGGCTTAATAGTAAGCTAATAAAGGTAAGCTAATATAACATTAGCATTTTCTGCGTTAAATTTCGAGTGGCCTGCTTTTAAATTCCCATATGCCGGTTTGTCAGACTACCACTTGACAGTCGGCTTGTATTCCAAACAACAAAAAGTCCACCTTACCGTGCCTGATTTTTTTCCGCCCGCTGTTAGCTAAACCACCATCAAAGTAACGCGATATCACTCTTCATCGTCTCGTAGATTGTGCTAACATCATAACATCAATTCGTCATAACATTGCATTAGTTTGATATCACCTTGGATCTAAAAAACACTCTCTATTGACACGTTTCCGCGGTAAAGTAGTTTGAAAAGAGCGCCGATGACGATCGAGTTTGGATTTGTCGCCATGGAGGCACCAGATACGGTGGAACATGTGTGGCAGCTTGTTTTGTTCACCGGCGTTGTCCGCAAAGAAGACAATGGGTGGAGTTGGCCCAAATCCGTGGCGCGACAGTAATATACGCGCCACGTTATGTCGTTTACAATAAAACGAACGTACATTAGCTGTAAATAATGGGATGCAAATTTATTATGTACACATGGCATATAGAAATATGGCAGACATTAGATACATAAGACAAAACTGTTCAATCCAAAGAAACAGGCACACACGCTGTGCAGCAATATCTGCCTCTCTGTTCAATGTACAATTCTCGTTCATTAACAGACACAAAACACACAGATGAAATGTTCATACTCCTAAAAAAACAAACAAGCAAACGTTGAAGGATAGTTAATGCTAGTGTATCTTCAGCCAGAGTGAGGCATTAGTGAATCTTTTAAGGGGCAGTGCGTAGCAGCAAAACTAGTGAGATTGAGCGATGCTGGAAAAGTACTCCAACATGTCTTGGATGGTGAACTCCATGGTGATTCCAGATCCGGGATAGCATCTACCAATCAGATCTTCAAAGTGCTTGTACTGACGGATAAACTCGTCTTGCATGGAGTGCCACACCACCTGGTGGAGAAAAGGGGGAAAAAATGCAACAGTGTAGGGTGAGCTTAAGGAATGTGCCACCAGACAGCAGTCGAGCGGTTTCGTCTCATCGCCTTATAAATCTCCCACCTGCAACAAACTTTCCTCTTCACACAGATGTTTGTCCACCTTCTTGTAAAGGTTGTCCAGGCCCTTCTTCACCTCTTTTCCCGGGTACTCTTTGATAACTTTGCGCAGCTCTTGTTTGTTGAAGGCCAGGTGGTAGCTCACCTCTTCCTCACGAACGCCCTGTGCTACCCGCGTTTCCACCCCTTCGAAGAAATGCTGCAAAAGACAAGATGTGTGTGCTGGATTAGCTTGGACATGCTATATTCTGCATTAACATAAATGGCTGAGGAGAGAAAGATAATTCGTTACATTGAGTTTTTCCAGTGGCTGTCCCAGAGAGTTGATGACATAGGACTGTAGGTGGTCCGTGTATTTATGCTTAGCCTCTCGTCTCTCAGCGTCCAAACACGAAATCTTTAGACGCGACAATGTCGAAAAGATATGGTGGAAATTCTCCATCATCACAACATCCCGCGGTGTTTTCTGGCTTTCATTGGCTACTTTTTCCACTGAAAACATAATTAATAATCAAAACTTTAACACCACTCAGCTGCAGCATTTTTTTTTTTCTTTGGCAGTGAATAGCCTACTCACCATTCATGAAAACAGCCCTGATGAGCTTGACATAAGCTTTATCCAGGTCCCCTCGGCGTTCTGCGTTACGGAAGATTGTCTCGGCGAGCTCGGCAAACTCCTCAAACCCAGTTACAAACGGCAGAATGCCGACTTTGCTTTTCTTAGAGATCTTAACTTCCTCCATCTGTCTGATCTGACCAGACTATTAAAAGAAAACAAAAACAACACACGTTTCAATGTAGAACACAATGCTTCAACCAAACTTCAATCGAATGATGACAAAAAACACGATTTAAATATATGATGAATAAATAAAGCTTGATATGAAAAACAACATAAGACATTTTCCTGACTGTATAAAATCAACTCACAATGCATTTGTCAAAGTTCCTCTTGACAGTGACCAGCACATTTCCAAGAGTAGTGCTGAGAAAAGAGGCCGGGTCAACGTTCTCAGCTGTCCACACGTGGTGACTCATCTTGACCAGCATGTACAGAGAGTGGAAGCTGTCAATCTTGTCGCCCAAAGCGATCAGGCTGTTGAGCTCGGTCTCGATGCTCTGGAAGATTTTATTCATCATCAGCCGCACCATGTCTTTCCTTTCGGACGTACAAACAAGCGAAGAAGAACGATCATGGGAAAAGTTATCTTGGAAAAACAATTGTATTTGGATGTGAAAATTGGTCATGATTGTTTACACCAGGAATCTCAACAGCCACGTCAAAGTACTGACTCTGATGACAGCGAGTGTCTGTGTTCCGCCTGGGGGGGTAATCTCGATGGCATGCTCCCATCTGACTCCTCTGTTTCAGGCTGACAGGACAAACAGACAGAAAAACTCACATCTCCAGTCAAATATCTGGTGACAGATTCCTTGAACAATGCCAGAAATCAAACTGTTCTTGGGGGGTGGGGGAATGTTTCCGTTTCAAGGAGTAAAGCCTAACACATCTTTCATTTGAATGGATTTACATCATTACTTCCAGATGTACCTGTGCAAGGGGGGGCACAACGGTCATGTGCTGCTGCAGCTTAAAGAACTTGCTAATGAAATCTTGTTCTGCGAGACACAGAGGCTCCAGCTCACTGAGGACCTGCTCAAATATCTGCAACGAGACAAGTTGGGAAAAGAAAAAAAAAAAGATCTCACTAAAGACTAAACGTATGAGCCTTTTCTCATCCCACGTTTCAAACTTGGGGTTCACCTTGTCAAACTTGGTTCTGTCTGCCACGTCCAGGTCGGAGGCGGACATGTTGCCCATGTCCAGCAGCGAGGAGGACTGGGAGCGCCGGCTGTTGGAGCCCTGCACCGTCAGCTTGTTCAGGCTGGAGGTGGAGCCCGTGAGCTTCCCAGAGCTGCCGTGCAGGCCTACTGCAGCACAGCAAGCACAGAGAAGTGTCAGACCACGTCTCGACGGGGCAGCGTTCGTAACGCAGGCTGATGCAAGTCAATTACGACACTCGGATTTATCAAATCACCGCAAATAACTATGGTGCAAATGGTTAGGATTCTTCTGGTAATCATCGGAGAATCAGAAGAGAGTGTGACGATGCATTTAAAAAGCACAAACCAAACAGTTACATGGCCAGGCAGTGGTTTGTAGGGTGAAGGGTGCGAAGGCGTAGTAAGGAGGTTTAAGGAGATTATTCTTTTTAGTGCGGTCGTGTAAGGGCCACAGTGATGACAAGCACAGTAACCGACAGAGCCGTCCAAATATCATACTTACTTTCAGTTTCCTGCCTGAGAGCACTCTCTTTCCGCGGAAGCGTGGCTGCAGCCAGTTAGAAAGGCAGGCATCAAAGACAGACATAGGTTAGGCTTAAAACATGCAGCGCGGGAGGGGAGAGGCAAGAGGTTAGGAGTACAGTTACATATATGCTGGCGTGCGCTGCTGAGGCCTCGGCAGACAAACCTTTGGAAAACAAATTCTGGTTTTGTTTTCAGAGGGCAAAGCTACATATTAGAGTGCTGAGAGCAGAGTCTAATAACTCTGCCAAAAACAAAGCTGAACAAAAGCCTCTATCCACACATTAAAAATGGAGTACAGAGCGTGTGAAATCCCTGTGCAAAGGGAAACGGAGACATTATTGAAAGATAAAACAAAAAGCCAGAGTTTTGAAGAAAAAAAACAACACTTTGGAGGCACATATAAGTTCAGTATAATAGGTTTAAGCAACAGTAAGGATACAGAAAGGCTGAAAAAGAATGAGGCATTTGTTCTTTTTTACCAATTTTCCTACATTTAAGCACTAAAGTAAAAAAGAGAGGAAAAAAAGAACCCACACAACAGGCCGTCACATTACCTGCACAGCAGAGGCATTCGTTAGGTCAAACCTCAAACGGCCCTGTAAGCTCTTACCAAACTTGCCCTTGGCTTCTTTGGATGTACCCGCCATCTTCATCTTGGCAACCTCAAAGAAGTCTTTGATTTCTCGCTCATATAGTCTGCTCATGTAATCAACATATGTCTGCAAGAGAGAGAAGGCGTCTTGTAGAATACACATAAACGGTCCTCTGGAACACGCAGTAAATAGACTGTAAAAACATGCAAATGGGGGTTTCGTATGTACTCCCGTTTCCTTAATCGCTAACTAGCAGAGGATTACATAGGCAGAAGATGCCTGCGTTCTTACTAAAGTGCAGTATTAGGTAGCAGCTAACACCCACTCATCACACACACAAAATCGCAGCAGAGGACCGAAAAAACAATGAGAACATATCAAACTAATTCAGAATTATTTTATAGGATAGCTTCACTGACCCTGGACAGGCCCTCATACTTCTCCCTGTGAGTGTTCTTCAGCCACTCCATGAGCTTGGCATAGCGCAGCAGGTCCCTGTGGAGGGGGCTGTGTTTGGGCAGAGTGAGCTCAGCTGTGTGCTGAGACAAAGTGGAGCTCTGGTCGTGGCCCTAAAGGAAAAGAGTGATAAAAAAGATATATAGGCAGTTAAGAGAGCATCTCAGGGCCCCATGCCAAATGGTCAACCGGCCATCTGGAACATCAGATTCTGTTGCCTTTTGGCTGTAGCGCATTGGACCCTGTCAGCTTATGTTCGACATGCTTCTCTGGAATCAGGTTAATGAGTGAGGGGGCACCTTGGTTGGCCATTTACCCTAATTAATGAAATCTGTAGGATTTAGTCAATATGAAGTTAGCCAAGTTATCTTTTTAATGCACAAAAGATCGAATGCTTAATATATCCGAAAGGTGTACAAAAAACATGTTTAACTTATAATGCAGGTTTTATTAATGCACACCCACCAAAGTTAAATATGGGAATGTGTGTATTTTTTTCTTTATTCATTAATCTTTTGAGTCCTACTTAACTCTGCACTGCTAGAGTACATGTAGATGGTATTTTCTTTCAACAGCCAAAGGTCACCTTTGCTGTGTTTTCGAACATAAATGAGGTGCATTTGAGCATTTAAAGCTGTTGAAACCTCATTTTGGGTCCCATTCCGCCTTATTTTAAATGCACAAAGAATTGAACTTACCCCCTGCACACAAATCATCTTTGCTCGCTTAAAATCATCTCTTACTGCCACACTGATGCTCTTCTCCCTTCTCGTCAAGAGTTAGAACCCTCAGTCTCTACTGCTTTTACCAAACACATGCATGTAGAGGAGACAGGCACAGCGTTTTTGGATGAGACCATTGCCGCCAAGCCATGAAAAGCCCTTAGCCGAGTAAGTTGGGGACAGATGAGAAATATGAAAGGTGCCTTTTCAGCTCTTAGATGTTAGGTAGTAAGAAACATACCTCATGCAACGGATAATGGACTGTGGAAGGAAAAAGCCGGAGGGCTGATGGCATGGACACTGGAGTGAGTTGTGTGAGGTCAAACATTAGCAAAGAAGGGGGTTGCTGTGAGGGTACTCACTGGAAGTGACAGACAGGAGGACCTATAGAATTGAGGGATGGTCATTTTGAAGTGACTGAAGTGGTTGAACTGACACAGAGACAGAAAGCAGAGTGGGATGATTCAGAGGAAGCAACACGGAAGTCAAGAACAGGAGGGACACAGCTGGAAGGAAACGGAAGAAGGAATCCCGGGAGGAGTGATTCGGCTAAACAGGAAGTGCAGAGTGGAGAGAGTAGAACGAGAGCCTGGAATAGAACATGAGAGTGGCCGAGCGTTTCACGGCTGACTTGACCTAGACTTGCTGTAGGGGTGTCTTAAACTCCGATTCTATGCTCCCACGACTTTGCTGACAGTTATTTCAGCGTTCATACGTCGATGCATAAAGATTCAGATAAAAGTAAAGTTGTGTTTGCTCGTGGTCAGTTATCTTGTCTTTACAAACAAACACAAGCAAAAACATTTTGTGCACAGAATATCCTAATGAGCAATCCTAATAGGGCGGTTATATGGTTGTTCTTATGACAGTGAGCTCGTTACCTGATGCACAAACACATTATTAAGGTGATTGGTGAGGCGGCGAGCGAAGGTGTCTCTGAGGTCAGTGAACAGAAGCAGTTGCTGCTTCACGGCCAGCAGCTTGTCGTGGCCTGTGGAAAGAGGCGAGCGCGGCTTCAGTCACATTTTATTCAGGAACTGAATAATCAATAGAGGGTGGAAACCTACCGGGTCGTAGAGCCACGTTCATGCACTGCAGGAGCGCTTCAGAGGCGTTGATGCAGGCCTCGATGCCTTTAGGGGAGGTCAGGTCTCCGTCTTGCAAAGCCCGGATGTGTCCTTTTGACAAATCCATGTAGTTCTACAAAATGAAAGACAATCAACACTTTCAATCTGGTACGTGTGTCACAAAATATTCCCAAAGTCAATGGTCATTCACCAGTAGCAGTGAAAAGATCAATCACCTGGAGGGGCAAAACTCACCACTAAGAACTGGATCTCATCCAGCAGTTTGCCGTTGTTGGTGTTGCTGATCTGGATGAGGCGGTTGCTCTGGGAGATCTGGTCCATCTGCTCCTTGACACTCTGGAGCATCTCCTCATAGCTGCTCAGCTTTCCCTCGATGGTGTCCACCTCCCCCAGCGCCTCATCGAGCAGCTGCATCAGGATGTTCACCTGCTTCTCGGACGCCATGATGGACTGAATGTTGGCCTATTGGCGAGAAGAGATGCACAGAGGTTGACTGATCGCTGAACGGAAATACGAAAATCTCGGATGATCATATTAGGCACCTCACAGGTAAGTTTCTAACATGCTTTCCTCACCCCATCTAACACCTGCAGCTCCTTGAAGAGCTTCTCTGCAAAGGCCTCTGCATTGGAGATGGCATATTCGCAAATCTCCATCATGCCCTCGATGTCCTGCTCTTCACGGGTGCTAAGCTCCTGGTAGTCGTCCAGAGCGTCCTCATCGCCCCCCGCCACACTTTGGCTCTCCCCGCTCGGCACCGACTCTGAACCCACGAAAAGAAATGAGCACACACATAGGCCATAAGCACAATCACATTCTGCTATCATCCAAAAAAGGACAGTCTATGGACAGGGTCAAATTCAGTCAGGAAAAGCTATTTGAAGGTTTTTCTGTGTTTTTTTCTTAACTACAATAATATCGTTGCAATAATGGAGCAGGAATGTAGTGACCAAAAAAAATAAAAAATGTAAACGAGGCATGACTAAATTATGAACAGGGCACGCTTATCAGCTACACATAGCAGACGAAGGATGCACTAATAAGCATATGACACTAAATAATCATATGGAGTTGAAAAACTGAAAGTAAGATTTAAAAAATAAAACACGATCATAATGTGTAGTATAATTACTGAACACAATAAAAAATGCCCTAATTTCAAATTAGTGTCTGATGAAAATGAGTGTTTGAAGTCATGAAAAGGCAATGGATAGGAGTGAGGAGGGGGGATGTTTAGTCCTACCAACCTTCCGCTTTAGGAAGTTCTGGCCACAGAAAGTTTCAAAGAGAAAAGTGAGAATAAAGAAGAATTTAACACAGAAAACCATACCACAAAGCAGGCAACTAAGAAAAGCTTTAAGGAATTTAAAGAAATATATATATAGATACACTCATCATAAATAAAACCAACCAAAGTCCAGAAGAGATTTAAAAGCAGGAAGATTCCAAGGTTCTTCCAACATGCACAACATAATATAAAAACACTCTCTCAAAGAAATATAATCAAACTATGGACAGATGCGTGCAGGCGCAGCACTGACTGGGGATGGAGAGCCAACTCACCTTCAAGCAGCTGTGAACTAACATTCACAAACTCCATCTTCTTCCTTAGATAGCGCTGGTTCAGCTTCCAGAGGCAGGAAATGAAGGAGTTTTTCTCAGCTGTACTGCTAGCCAACCAGCGGTACACCTTCTCAAAATGCAGATCAAACTCAGGATTCTCCTGAAAGCAAGAGTCAAGCCAAAGCATATTAGCCCCAATTCGAGGATATGGAAAGAGAGCACATGGGCATAAAATTCAAGAAGTGATTAATCTTCTTCTCTCTCTAACCTTGCTTGCATCTTTGGCATCTACTTGCGTCAAATCTCTGAGCTCCCAGGTCTGCTGCCTCTTGTAGAAGTCTCCTTTGTCCGATTTTTTCACCTTTACCACTTTAACCTGGACGGGCCTCTCTGTGGTGACTGGAGGAAACAAGAACACACTCTCAGAAATACACATTAGTTGTCATCTACAGAGTGTTCTGGCAGGACTGCACCTATACCTGTGGCACACAAGAAGCAGTTCTTCTTTTTCTTCCCTGCCTTGCAGACATTGACGATGCCAAGTAGACGCTCATCGTTCGGCGTGAAGATGTCCCTCTGGAGAGCGTGCTTGATGGCTGTCATGGTGGAGGCTGTCCTACAGAATGTAACAGGTAATGATTACTGTCACCATAAAAGGACACACATCCATTTTAGGAGCTGGAATGCGAGCCATCAACAGCCCAATATGCTTAGCTGCTCAGACGAGCAAAAAATAACACTGCACAAATGCAAGAAAAACCGAATAGTAACAGACTGTATGACTTTACCCAAACACAAGAGAAACAACACAAAATAGCCACTGTCTCAAAGCACAACATATAGAGAAAACACCATGCTATCCCACTGCAGAGATCATGTTCTGATGAAGAAAACATTTCTCAGAGAGGTCATTAGCTTTGTGTTTGTTTTTGCCATTCGGTATATATCAGCGACTGCTTTCATTAAAGGCACAAGACAGGGACCATAAGATACAAATACTATTTCTTAAAATCTAAAAGTGCCCTGTGGAGCAGAGGTTTCTTCCAAATATCACTCTGTGTTTGGCTTCCTGACTGCTAACGACTTTGCTAGCTAAGCTGAGCTAAAAGTAGTTAGCTTCAACTGCGCGTCACACAAATGCCGAGTTTCGTGTGACTACATTCACAAAACGTTACACGAGATTGCCGTTAGCTTTTATCAACCAATTAGCTTTAATTGTATTTTCAACCGGATATATGTAACAAAAAGCCGTTACCTTAATATTATCAACCCACCAGCCCCTTTTAGCGCCGCCCTCTCACTTCCTGGTCGACAGAGTGAGCTGTCATGTGACACAGAGCCACGCCCACACCCCTTTACAATTTCCTCACAAGAAGACGCGGCTCATAAAAGAGAGTAAAAATCCTACGGACCCTGCTCACACAGAAAAAATCTGTGACTGATCATTTACGGTAGCATACTACATGTAAACGCATTCTTAGACTACACATGCGACCGTTATTGAAGATGTTCCACCTATTTTTCTATATAAAATTATGCCTTCACGCAAAAAAAAAAATGGATCTCGCGGCCTAAACTAAATGATTTGATGACTTTTTAACCAAATAAAATTTGTGGCACAAAGAAAGTAAAAACACATTTGAATGTATATTGCCCTTAGGCACACTGGGATGTTTTTTTTATTTAGATCTTTATTGAATTGAATGATTTTGAATCTCATAGGAGGAGGACAATCAAGTGATGGATGTATGGAAAACATAGGGCAATTAATACTTAGCAAACCAGAGTCCCTCAAAGACCAACATGGGGTTGATTTTAAGCTTTGGATTAATAGTTGCCTAAAAGAGGTAGTTTGCTCAGCTCACGTTTACCATTAAAAGTAGTTGTAAGTATTTATTTATATTTTTTTGTATTTTTGGGGTGTTTTTTACATTACCATCCTAAACAATCTGATAACATTACATGGTGTGATAATCTATTTACTTGCATTTCACACAAAGAAATATTATTATTTACCTTTTCAGAACACCAGATGGCATTGCTAATCCATAAATTATCTCATATTTCTCCAAAGACCCAGTTGTATGCTCAATGCATTGTGTTCTTACACTGGATATACATATTTTGTGGCCATTGTCAGGGATATATAGGTGTATTAGCCATGTTTTGCAGCAGTAAAACTGAGAAACTGCCCCAGTTTACAAGAACTTCCATATGAGATGGAGATTTTTAGTGGACCAATAAAGAAAGAAGTCAAGCATGTGTCAACACAGTGAGTCAGATTTGATGGAGATGAAAATCAGATATTAAGAAATATTTCGCAAACAACGCCTGGAGCTGCAACTTCTGTGTTTGAGGTTATTGTGCAGAGACAAGGTTGGATTTCCCAGCTGATGAACGTGGCACACTCTGTCAACAGCAGTTAAGTTCAGCGTCTCTTATCGCCTGTGACACATGCTTCCAAATATTTCTCTGCAATGAAGATATTTCAAAACATGTCCGAGATGTATGATCTTTGTGTTCCTTTTTTCGTCACTTGTCATGTTTCTTGAACTCTGTCTTGGGTCCATTGTACAGAAACAGAAATCATACATTATTCAGGCAAAGACAACAAAATGATTGAAGGCTGTGTCAAACAGCCTCTGTGGTGTCTTTCTGTCTTTGTTGGGTTGTAGATTAAAATTTTTTCTCCCGTTCGAAGAGGGTTATCACACAAGGTTGCTCGTAAACTCGATGTCTCACACAAATACAGATTTACTGTTTTAAAACCCCAATGGAAAAGAGGCTGGAAATTTGATTTGATTTGATAAAAAATACATGTAATGCCGTCACACAATTTTTTTTAAAACTGTCAAATTTTGAGGGTGTTACATTTCAATCTTTCAATTAGATTATAAACTCACCTTGAAAATTATGGTAGAAACAGGTTTTTGTATAAGTAAAGCAATAAGAATGAAAAGGTAAGTAGCATTAAACAAAACTAGCTGAAGGTCAGTGTTCAACAACGACTAGTTGGATTAGCTGACAACTGGTCAACCCTGTGATATGATTGAGTACAAAAAAGCACTTTAGACAAATGGAGCGTCTCAGAAAGCATCTGCAAAACTGCATCTATAATTTGTAAGCACTTTTTGAAAAGTCTTTGAATATTCTGTCATTTATAGAGTGTACTTTAATGAAAAAAAAATCTAAAATCTTTAGCCATCTCAGGGTTGGAGAACCAAATATTCTTTAGAATATTCTTATGTAGAATATTTAATATTTCACCCATAATCTTTGGCCCAGACATGATTCTGTCATGAGCAATAATAACATGAGCTTCAGATAACTTCTACAAATCTAGAAATGGGAAAGCATGCCTCTCGTAAAGGTCCAACACCTGGTCCCCTCAGTTTACAGACACTTACAAACTGTAAAAAACAAAAAAAAGGAAAAAAAGAAGATGCTACTCAGGGCTAAATATGACCTTTTATTGCCTCCACTGCCACATTTGATATGTCTTCACTTTCTTAATGTTTGACTGTCAATAAAACGTAGAGATAAGGAAATTTGCTAATCATCACATTTACATTTGCAAGACAAAAACAATGTTGCATCCTTCAGGCGGACAACCACGATGATGATTTGCACACTTTTGTTTCTCACATGTATGATCCTAATTAGTGTGATACGCGCAAAACAGGTACCCTCACATTGCTTCAGACCTTTCCGGCATGCCATGTTGGTGTGCCTCCGATGACTCACTCGTGTTTTCCACTGTTTTGGTTCTACATTTATGGGCGTCACGATTCGACACGTGCAAAAAATGAAAAGCTTCAAGCTATATGTATATAAAAATAAACCTACAAGCAACAGTCTTTAGCGTGGATGGAAAGCTTGCAGAGGAGGCAAACAAAGTGGGACCCTAAAGTAGAGAGGGCTCTAGACCAAAGGTGTCAGGAGGCCGCTACACCGAAGCGGGAGCCCCGCTGACATGCATAGATGGCTCGCAGATTCAGCTTGCAAACAAAAGGAGCTGTTCATGCTGGTTCTACAGCGTCAGGGGAAGGCGATATCATCTGTGTAATCTGCATTTGACATTCACACGGCTGATTGAAAGCAGATAGCATTTTCTATTTTGGTGTGGAATCAGAAAACGACGGAGTTGCTATCTGGGTGGCATTTTCTGCAGCATTTAACATGCTAGAAGAAGGCATCATCAGCATTGTTTAGAGGCCCCATTAACTAAACTGCCCGCATGCACACACGAGTATAAACAAACCTGTGTACATGCTGACTACAAAATACCGAACACCGCCACTCTGTGATCACTTTCTTAAAATTTCTGGTCTTCAATTGGAAAATTGAAATGAAAACGCGTCGTGACAAAAGCAAAGTGCCTCACAGGTTGTTTCGTCTGACTAAAGCAATACAAAGTCCTCCTGGATGTGACGCAGCTATATATAAGCCTGCATGACAGTTTTACACCACTTTGGAAGTGCTTGCTCATCACTGTCAAATTACACATAAAGAACAACACACTAGTTAAGCCAAAGTGAAGTAAGCAGAGGAGCCACTATTACATGGTCAATGCAGGCCTCTTTGCTTGTTATTTGGGTCAATTATGTGTCTTTCAGAGTAATCATGTAATTCAAAGCGAGCGCATGTGTGCGTGTTGTGTGCATACTGTCCGTTGGGCTGCCTGAAATGAGTTAACCATGAAGGAACCTAGACTCAATATGCAACACGCAGCTGAAAATCCAGAGGTCCAGATCCTATGGAGAGGGTACACGTCACATGCGGCCAGCTATTAGTATAGACATCTGAACCACTCAAACAGGTCTGCATTGTTTCTGTGATTTGCACATTCCCTCTGCTCCGACGATTTTTTTTTCCACAGCAGCCATTTTGATATGACGGTATCAATCCCATGAATTGAAGCTGTGTCAGAAAATGCTCACATTTTCATATAAAAGAAGCCTCAACGTGGAATGGATTTGTTCAAGTTGTTTAAATGCACACGTGTGATATATTTTTGAAGGTGGTGTGATATGGTTCTAAAAACGTGGTGGCCAATTTCCTGGTCGAGCCAATCGGGCGTTTCCACTTGCCTGTCTTATTGGGTCTCAGGTGTGCGTGAATGTGCTGTGACTACAGAAGTTTAAAACCCTCACATCATCTAATTTTTATTGATTGTGTTATATTGGCAAGACGTATTTATAATGTAGTTTGAATCAAAGTAGACATTTTTGTGTTGATATCACGCTCTCATCAAATGGTTCAAGAATAATTGCTAAAATGAATCTTTTTTTCTTTTTGTCGTACAGTTTCTGGGGCTGAAATCTTTTCTTTTAGTCACTAATCCGGTGCTATAAAAATGACTACGTGTGTTACTGTGTGTAATAATTTGACGATTCATTAATCACGGACTTACATGAATTCATGGCGATGCAACAGGAAGCAACAGGAAATCATGGCCCTCTTTGCAATGTGCAGTGTTTTCAATCTGAATGGAAACGTGCAAACTTTACATGCATGATACATTACTATTATGTAAAACCACCAAATGTGTTGCTGTGTACTCATCCCATATATTGATGGAAGCTGAATTTAGGGTGGGGATCTTTGTCAAATCTGTGGCAGCAAACATTTATCAGAGCAAGAGGGGAAATAGATTGTTTATTGATGGCATTCATTTAACTCACTGTGCACAGGAACCTGTAAATGTGCCAGGATTGAGTGCTACGATGAAAGCTTTGATAGAATATCTTGATATGTATGTTATTTAAGCAAAACATAATCCCAAAATGTTACCTGTAATATTATTGGTAAAAAAATTTGAAAATGAAAATCCTTTTATCGTCTTTACATTGGGATTACAGCCCAGCTGTGCAGTTAAATCAATAATGTCTTCCAAGTGGTGTGAAATATTTAATCCAAATCTATGGTGCTGACTATTGATAGAATATAAAATTCTAATCTACTTTTTCTTTAAAAGTTCTGGTTGCATGTACAAACATTTTGTCTATTTATAAAGTAATGTTCAAATACATGTAATCTCAAAGTGAGAACATGAATTTGAACATCTAGGTTTAGGATTAGGTGCCAACATCAAACAAAATAAAATGGACTGTCTAATTGCATTTTACTAAATAAATGCTGCTCTTTACAGGAAAGAATGCTTTTCTCTTTTTTTTTGTGACTCCAGCCAATTTAAAACGCAATTCTACAAAAAATGGTCTTGATGTATTACACAGAGGTTACTAATGGTTATTGTAGGAGGATATTACTTGTTAATGAGTTACACGTCCCTCTCATTTTCCAGTCCTAAACACCAGCCAAAACACAAATGGGTTTTTTGTGGTCCCACTCTGAGCTCATCACACTAGTCAGTATGTTTCGGGTTGTTAGTCTGAGAGGAACTGTTTTTAATTTGCATTCTAATTAATTAATAAGCAAACAGCATTGTGTTAAAGAAGGAGAAATATGTTGCTCAGGTCTGTCCGACAACTAACCTGTAACTTAGTTCAGCTTTGCAAACGAATTTAAGGATTGAATACAATTTTTTTTGTTCTGTTGTGTAACATGTGTCCAATATCACATCATTACATGTTTTATGTTTAAGAAAATGTTAAAGAAAAAAAAAGGATTGTTCTATAGAAAAAAGAAACTGGATGAGGATGGTGACCCAACTACATGGCTGTGTTGAATTTCAACCCTGAGCTTGACTGAGTCTTGTGATTTATCCTTGATGCTCACAGAAATATAATATAAACAGTCAATCCTTTGGAAAATCCTTTCCAAATCCATCTCTGAAGAAAGAAGGAGGGCATTCTATTGGCTTCAATCTGTGTTGTGGCTTCAACGTGCAACAGTGGGCGAATCATTCGTAAATAGCCTCCCCTCAGTTACCTTTGGGTTTTAACAATAAAAAAATCCAATTAGATCAACGCATGTAAATGCCAATCAGCTTTATAATAACAGCACTATTGAAAGGTCATGACATTTCAATACCTCTCCAATACCAAAGGGAATTTTCTCAAAACTTTTCAGGAAACAGGAACCACAAAAGGAGACTCCATGAGAGCAAATTACAGCCAGCAAACAGTGTCATCTCTCCCTAAAAAGCCTCAAGAATGTATACAATAGTGGCCGATCGTTGAAAATACTGCTTCCTGTCAAATAAATGCTATGATTGCCTACTGACCTCCACTGCTTGGTCTTAATTTATGACAAGCAGATTAGTGTGGGCGAACGACAAGGGTGGAGATGAGTGAGTTGACTCTTTGAATTGCTCAGTGATCCCTCCGCTTACGCCATGAGGCCATCTCGCACAAGTTTTTTCGAAGACAAAGCCATGACGGTGGTAGGTTTGTGATTACAGTCCTCTGTCAAGCGTATGGGGTGTTTGCACAGAGATACATTTAATAAATATGCGTTTGTTTCATAAGATTAAGAACAACATTTCACTTTCACGGCAGGTAATGAGGGCAGTCAATCAAAATGGTACTTATACTACATGAGTGCTCCAGGCAATACATTCTTTTATTTTGTGTACAAAATCCTTGTGGAATATCTCCATAAATCCAATGAATCTCCTTGCAACATCTGTCTCTCCTCACTGGAGCCACAACTCCTCTTACAGTGCTTACAAACCCCCTTCTAGGAAAAGAAAAGCCTGGCCATAAAATCCTATTAATTCACCTAATTTTACTTGTAAGTTTATTATAAAATATCTAAACTGAATTATGTACTTACCAGCATTTCTGCTTTCACACACACTACTTTACAATGCCTGATAAATTAGGGGGCTATGACAAAAGGTAGTCCAGTAATGGCTCATAATGACATTTCATAATGATAAAGTAATTCAGAAATATCTTTCATAAGCTTTGTGACAAATGAATATGATGAAATAATTCTCCTAATTATATTGAACACACTTGTTGGATTGTCTAGACACCCAGATTGGTGTGACTAAATATTAGAGGGCTTTTTTTTTTGCAAACAAGAGCACGATTCCTCTTTCAAGATCAATCTCGTACTTCGCTAATATCTTTGTGAACAGTGGATTACATGAATTTTAAGCTTCAGCTGTTTGGTGGGCCTCATCATAAACACCAGCAAGCCAGTTATTAGGTTTCAGTGGGCAGGATATGACACGGCAGTGAAAAACTAGTCAAAGTGATTACAATATTGAAAATGTAATAAAGCCGTAAACTCAATTATCTGCTCTTCATGGCATTTTCTTGTGAAAATATCACATCATATTACTGCCGCTTAACACTAGATTATGGAAAAAAGACTTAGGTGCAAAATGCCATTTTCCATCCCATTGGTGCCGTGGTGTCCTGCGTATGAACACATGAAAATTAAACCAGATTCAACTCAAAGCTTCACGTGACGAACTCTGTGAAAGCCACATGTCTGACTTTAAAGGGTTAATGCAGCCCGTATTTACCTCGAAGGAATTAACAAAGAGAAGGCATGTTAAGTCCTCAGGAGCAAACTTTTGTGGACTTGGAAAACTGAGTGCCGCTGACTCATTATGAGGCTGAGTGACTTCTGTCATCGTGCTCATTCCCAGGTGTGAAAGTGCCTCATCCAAAAGGCTTTGGCTTCCATACGCACGTAGGAATATTTTGCTTTACAGTCGTTAGACTTTTTGTGGCCTCTTGGAAATGTCCACTTAATCAAGTGTAAAGTTGGGTCACATGAAGATTTTATTTCATGATAGTTTTGTTACATTCAACAAATGTTAGGAAAGTCTGAGAGCAAAAATAGTGTCCAATTTGTTTTTTTTTAATGTTCTCACATGTTTGACTTTGACCTGGAACGGGGAATGGAAACACCAGTCTTACAAAAATCTCAGAAACCTAAGTTGAAGTCTAATTCAATTATAGATATTCATCATTCATATTCAGCTTGTCACCTCACATACAAATGTTTTGTTAAGCACACTACCAAATCATGAGTGATTAAAACCAAAACTAAGAAAAGAAAAAGTAGGTGCCAAAATCAGAAGGATCATATGGCGAGCCCAGCCATCTCAGATAAGTGAGGAAAACCGTAAGGTCAAAGAAATTATCTAAAGTGTCCATTGACAGTCAGAGTGTTCAGATGTTTGGAGGCTTTTACTCATTTTAATCCCTGTGCAGTAATAGATTACAAACTTCATCAACAGTCAAACAGCATCAGAAAACACAACTCAACTACTTTTGTCGACATGTTTCCATGCAACTTTACCAATACGGCTTGCACAGAGTAGAATCAAATGTGGTGTGAAGAATCTAGAGGATATTTCAGCAATGAAGCAGAGAGGTTGACTTTAAAAGGTTGTATCAAGATACAGTTGTTGCATTTGTTTAGAACCGTTCAAACTATAATGGATTGCAGCAAAAATTGTAGAATGAGCACTGGTTTTATCAGAGTGCACATGGTAGATATTGATTCATTTTTAATTTGACTACATAATGGTTAAAGTGCAGGGAAAAGTCTTAGGAAATTCTAAGGTTTAGGTTAGGGTCAAATATAAGTTTTGAAGGGAAAATGGAAACATGGGTCCCTAAGTTAAATAAGAGTTAAGGAAACCAAGTAGATACAAAATTTGACCTTTAATTTACTTTAATGAAGGGATGTACATGCAGTTGAATTCTTGATCCCATACCTATTCATCCGAAATGAAGAGAGATTTTCCTTATAGACCACAAAGAGAGTTCTGCTTTTATTTAAGGATGAGGATTGGAATATGTTAAATTAAGTTCACACTAGAACTTCGAACTTTTTTAAAAGGTTGACGCGTTTGCTGTTGGCATCACGTTTCCCTGCAGCCTTTCACTGCGTTGCAACCTGTCCATCGGCAATCTTAATAACTTTTCCACGCGCGCGCGGAGCCTCTGTGACGCAGCCGGGAGCCGCTGTGGGGGTGTGGGGGGGGTGTGTCCGTCATATTTTCTCTGACGTGAGGCTGAAAGTGTCACAAGAGTTTGAAGTACAAAAAAACAAAAGACGACAAAGGACGGGCGGAGAGGGAGATGAAGACGTTCCAGAGCAAGAGCCAGCCTGCGCAGCGCGGAGCCCCCAGCAGCCTGAACAGTCCCAGCGCCATGAGTCTCCTCAGCACGGCCAGCATCACCCTCGCTGCCCTCCTCACCCTCACCCTGCCAGCCTGCGCGAGTAAGTCCAGCTGCATCCGATCTACTCTATTTTATTCTTATTTTTTAAGTATTAAAATAACTTTTTCGTCTATCTATCTATCTATCTATCTATCTATCTATCTATCTATCTATCT